TCACCCAGTTCTCCTCTGAATTATTCAGATGTTCATTGGCAAACTTCAGACAGCAATGTATATGTGCTTTCTTGAGCAGGGGGACCTTGCAGGCGCTGCAGGATTTCAGTCATTCACGGCGTAATGTGTTACCAATTGTTTTCTTGGTGACTATGGTCCCAGCTGCCTTGACATCATTGACAAGATCCTCCTGTGTAGTTCTAGGCTGAAACCTCACCGTTCTCATGATCATTGGAACTCCACGAGGTGAGATCTCGCATGGTCTTGTAGCCCATTCCAGCCTTGTGTAGGTCTACAATCTTGTCCCTGACATCCTTGGAGAACTCTTTGGTCTTGGCCATGGTGGAGAGTTTGGAATCTGATTGATTGATTGCTTCTGTGGACAGGTGTCTTTTATACAGGTAACAAGCTGAGATTAGGAGCACTCCCTTTAAGAGTGTGCTCCTAATCTCAGCTCGTTACCTGTATAAAAGACACCTGGGAGCCAGAAATCTTTCTGATTGAGAGGGGGTCAAATACTTATTTCCCTCATTAAAATGCAAATCAATTTATAACATTTTTGACATGCGTTTTTCTGGATTTTTTTGTTGTTATTCTGTCTCTCACTGTTCAAATAAACCTACCATTAAAATGATAGACTGATAATTTCTTTGTCAGTGGGCAAATGTACAAAATCAGCAGGGGATCAAATACTTTTTTCCCTCACTGTAAACAAAGCTTTTTGTGCATATGGAACATTTCTGGGATTTTTTATTTCATCTCATGAAACATGGGACCAACACTTTACATGTTGCGGTTATATTTTTGATCCACTAAGTTGGACATACCTTGTTTACCCCCAAAATGCATTCCTACGCATTTTCCACAACATTTTCATTCTTTTGGACAAAAGTCCACTCATCCTTTTTTCCACCGCCCTCGGATTCAAGCTCCGCCATTTCGCAATGTCTCGGCCACCAGGCGGATATGTATTCATATGATATCTTTATCATCTGCGCAATTTACAAAGTATCTGACCAGAGATCTACTGATATGAGTAGCATCAGAGATATGGAATGCCCAGTGTCACTTGAAATAAATACCAGTCAATAAATAATTAAACATGGAAATTAAATAGAGAAATAGAAATTGCAACACATAAATAAATACATAAATTCAGGAATATATACGGAAATAGATGGTTCAATCATTTTATTAATAAGGTTTTCCTTAAACTATTCCAGTCATAATGCCTCAAACGATTTTAGTTTTTATAAGTCATTTAAAACCTAAAAAATGTAGCACACAAGTTAATGCAAATAAAAAGTATATTTTATTAGCAAAAGTTGCATTCAAAAATGTCAAATAAGAATGAATGATGCCCCATATTGGCAATCTGGATAAAACACTGTCTAGTATAAAAGGTCTTGAAATGCTGACCCTCAATATCTAAGGGTTGTCAATCATCAGTAGGTTGGTGAGTGCCTCCCCTTCTTTGTAGAGCCCCTCTTCTTTGTGGAGCAATGGGAGGTTGATGCTGGTTTGACTTCCCACTCCCACTCAACTCTCTTCTGCTTCTCCTGTCCATCAAACTCTGACACATCCAATATCTTAAGAAGGGAAGAAAAATGCATGCTTAAGTCTTGGTAGAAAACAAAACTATATATAAAGTGCCGTTTTTCATTCATCTTGTTGCCTTCCCAATGGGCTCAGACGTCAATTCAATGTTGGTTCAACATAATCTAATTGAAATGACGTGGAAACAATGTTGATTCAACCAGTGTGTCCCCAGTGGGTTGCTACCAAAGTATTGTGCTATCTTATAGCCTTTCAAAGACTTCCTCATACCCCCAGTGCCATTCACATCACTGTACCTGTAGAGGGCATCTGAAGCTGGTCAGGCTTATGCCACCCAACACACAGAAGCTCTGCCCAAGTGTATGAACAGAGAGGAACAGAGAGGAACAGAGAGGCCCAAAATAACCATATTTCAGCCTCCTTCCTTCTTTCAGCACTCCCATTGACCTCTCCAACCTTCCTCCTCCAGACAGGTCCGCTCGATCCTGCTCTCTCCCCACTCCCGAGCTCAGTTAGTCGGGTAAGAGGTTCTCCAAACATGGCTCCAAACCTGGGTGTATTAGCATCTCTGATGGTATGGTGAGATCTGTGTCCGGTGGTGGCCTGTGTCATTGTCCAGTGTTGGTAGAGATTTCTCAGAACTGTCAGTGTGTCTATGTTGATAGGAGGGGTGCTGGCCCATTGCTTCGGGATCAAGGGGGGCATCAGGGTATCTATCACAAACTGCCTCAACATCTGGAAGTCCAGTGTGTAAAGCAAAATCACCCACCCAGATATCAATTGTGACAAACTTTATTTCAGAGTCAAACTTCAAATTCAAACGCAACCTTCCCTCAGGCAATTTGTGATACTCGTTATGTTTGATTGGACTCTTGGAATTAGGTTGTTGTGGTACTGCAATACAGTGGCCTATGGCGTCACAGGAGGCAACATGTCATCCCTTTGTTAGATATGACCATAGAATTAGAGTGACCTACTTCTATGGTCATTTCTAACAGAGACAGTAAGCTCATGCCAGTAGAGGGCACCCTCACACATTTGACTGATTTGACCCAAATGGGTTGGTTCTCTGAAGAGTAAATTTTTTAAAAACCTGGCCTAAACCCCCTATAGGACCCAGTCACACAATAATAGCAATACCTCAGCCTAAAAGTGACATAACTTCTATATATTTTTCACTTTACTGCATGAAATAACTGATGTGAGTGGAGCTTGCTGGTGTAAAACAGCTGCCTGGCAAATGTAGTTGGTGTGGTGAGGTGATCGTATTCCTTGGTAAAAGGGTGAAAATGAACTATTTAAACACATTCAATGTCTATATCATAGATTTCTGTTTCCAATCAAAATAAAGGTGCAATGCACCTCCAGTAGCTGAAAAATCATAGCGCAAAACATGGGCTCACCAATCACGTAAAACCATTGAAACGCTTCCAGGTGTCGTTTGCTTCGAGCTTATGAACCTTTTATCTACTCTCCTTTTTTGTGATGACTTTCTGTAGGTTATGCCCCATACTTCAGAGTTCCCCTCTCTTCCAACAAATAATGAGTGAGCCGGGAGAAATGCGCGGCCTATGCTGCACCAAGTGCATGTAATTAGAGGACTGGCTTTGACCTTACTCAGTGCACGGGGAATCCCAGCCCATTTACTGTCTTCAGTAGAGTGCATGTAGACCTTGCTGGGATTACTGATGATAGCCAGTGTTTCCAGGTGTTTTAGAAATCCTGCCAGTGCGTACCACTTCCTCCTTACACCTCCATCATTTTGACATCAACTGAGGCCTGTATCACTAGTGTATCAGTGCAACACGTCACTTACCTTGGGTGACTTAGCATATGTACTTTTAGCTGAAGATGCCACTTAATGACAAATTAAAATATGGACTTGACAATCAATCTTTAAAACGATTTGCACTTTACATTACTGCAACAACATATCAGACATCATTTAGTGCTATATCATATAATAAGATCACTCAAATATGCATACTGAATAGATAAACTCACACACACCAGAGCCAGTAGCATTGTGATGGAGATTAATATATACTGTCAGTGCTGCTTTGATCAATAGCGATCATTAGTTACAAAGTCCTGCAAATAAACTCACACACAGGATAGAGAGATGCACCACTATCTGCAGAGCCAGCAGGTGCAACTCTAACTAGCATCCTTCATCTTGTCCCACTTTCCCCCTACAGACACACTTAATCATCCCCCTATCCCCATCTGCGTTAAACAGGAGAATCACACTAGCCCTACACATAGTAACAGAAGTGGGCAATGGAGCAGTGTAATTCCAAGAGTTCCCTGTAGAGTTGTAAAGTTAATTTAAGACTAACTGGAAACTTACAGCAAATGTGATTTTGATAACATTTTGAACATTTGTTTTATTGAGCAGCACAAACGGGTTTTTACAATTGTTTAATTTAAATGATCCTACATCCAACTGGTAACTTATGCACATGAGTTTATACACCACACCATATCATGCTTCATCCCTTCGATACCATATCACTTCTGCACTCTGAAAATATGTGCCCTTTCTTTCTTGCCCTGTCACGTCTGGTTACAAAGTCAGTTAAGGACAAAAAGATGACTTAGTGCAGCGTGGAATCATTGAATCTTCTCAAAAGAGTAGACATTCAAGGTTAGTTTTGCAGTCAAGACCCTTCAGGTATGCTATATTGCTTTGGTTCCATCTAGATGTGTCAATAAGACCCACAAAGTATAATATAATAATACATACAACACCAAAGACAGATAGCAACTTGGTTAAATCTATGCAAGTCAGTAAAAATGTGGCCACAGTAAGAAAGGCATGAAGGCTACATGCAGGTACAACGAGCTTGGCTGTTCACACTTAAAATAGGCTCTCCATTAAATAGCATAATTACATCTCTTATATGAGTATAAACTGTAGAACTGTATATTCAACAGTACAGAAATGTATGATACAGGTATGTCCCTAACAAATGTGAGCAGGGTTGGGCAGAAACGGATTACATGTAATCTGATTACAAAAAAAACTGTAATTGTAATCGGATTACAGATGCTTTTGAAAAACTAGATTACTTCTTGGATTACTTTCAAATTCAGAAAGGATGTTTGCTGTTTTCTCAATGACATTTAATTCAGCATTGATAAAAGCACAGGTTTAAGTTTGTTCCACCTGAGCCAGTCTGACCACAAGTCAGAGACCACTATCATGACACACCAAATGTGTTCTATGGATCATTTTTGTCTACTTCTAATACCTCTTAAGGGGAAAGTTATCCGATTACGTTACTGAGTTTGGGTAATCCAAAAGTTACGTTACTGATTACAATTTTGGACAGGTAACTAGTAACTGTAACAGATTACATTTAGAAAGTAACCTACCCAACCCTGAATGCAAGTTCACTCAGTCCAGTTCCATTCCAGGGAATGAGGAATCACAAATCCACCGAGAAGGAGCCTGGTTTGAGCTGTGTGTCTGAGGGGATCTGAACTAAACAGGTTTCAGTGGGTAGCTGTGATAAGCGGTTATCTGAGGGAGCCTGTCCAAAACGACCGTTTGTCGGTGGCTTCTCTTTGACACTGACATCTTTTGAAAGGTATTCCCGGCGTGGGTCAGTGTCGATCTCATAGCGGTGGTGATACCCCTCCAACACGTCATGGCAGGCATCTCGCCTCTCCACCACCCACTTTTTAATACCTTGCCGGTTGAGGTAGAGCACAAAGAGGAAGATAATGCCCACAAAGCCCAGCACCAGACCCAGGAGGACGTAGGAGGTCTGCAGGGAGAGGTCACCCACCTCGTCTCTGATTCCGACCAAAGGTGGTGAAGTGACATGGCATCCGATAACTTGGACCCCGAGCCCCCGCAGGGGCCTGTTCTGAAACTCCCAGGGTGAGGCGCAGGTCAGGGCTTCTGCATCCCACACCTGAGCCTGGGAGCTCTTGAGCCACACGGCAAAGTCTCGGATCTCACATGTGCAGACATAGGGGTTGTGGCTCAGCAGGATGCGGGGGGCTTGCCCCAGCCTCTCCAGCTCCCCCAGAGCATCGCCTCGGAACGCCCTGAAAGAGTTGTGGGTCAGGTCGAGCAGCTCCAGGCGGAGCAGGCCAATGAAGGTGCCGTTGTAGAGCGATGCTAGGGAGTTGTTACCCAGGAGGAGGTGCTGCAGGCTGGGGAGGTGGGAGAACATCCCTGGGGGTAGGAAGACCAGGCGGTTCCCGGAGAGGTCTAGGCTGAGCAGCCCTCCTAGGCCTCCCCAGCGCAGTGCGTTGGTGAGATCAGTCAGGGAGGTGTAATTATAGAGGGAGCGGCTGAGGTTGAGCTCCTTTAGAGGACTCCCTGGGATGTTGAGTGCTTCAGGGTGGATGAGAGCCAGATGGTTGCAGCTCATGTCCAGGGAGCGCAGGTAAGAAAGGGTAGAGAAACTGTGGGACGCAACCTCTGTGATCCTGGGAAGACAGATGGACCATGTTTACAGTCCCCAAACCACTTATTGGACTCGGAAGTAATGTTTGCTGAATGATTGTTATGCTCAAATAGGGTCTCTAAATATTTCATAAGTTGGTGTGATGGCATTCATGGAATAATCATTTTGTTGTAGTTTAGAATCATAACTCAAAAAATATTCATTAATGTATAGGCTAGTAAATACACATGCATATGTCTCAATGGTTGAAAATGTGAAATCTCTACAATGGCAAGAACACAATTCTCTTAAATTTTTTAAAAATATATATATATTTTACTTTTTACCCCTTTTTCTCCCCAATTTCGTGATATCCAATTGGTAGTTACAGTCTTGTCCCATCGCTGCAACTCCCATACGGACTCGGGAGAGGCGAAGGTCGAGAACCATGCATCCTCCAAAACACGACCCTGCCAAGCCGCACTGCTTCTTGACACACTGCTCGCTTAACCCGGAAGCCAGCCGCACCAGTGTGTCGGAGGAAACACCATACAACTGGCGGCCGAAGTCAGCTTGCAGGCGCCAGGCCCGCCACAAGGAGTCGCTAGAGTGCGATGGGACAAGGACATCCCAGCAGGCCAAACCCTCCCCTAACCCGGACAACGCTGGGCCAATTGTGCACTGCCTCATGAGTCTCCTGGTCAGGGCCGGCTGTGACACAGACTGGGATCAAACCAGGGTCTGTAGTGACACCTCAGAACACAATTCTCTTTAATGAGAATATTTACTCACCTATTGTTGCTCAAAATGATGTTGGTGACATTTTTCAGTTCTTGAAATGTCTCAGATCCAATTCTGAATATATTGTCTCCTGTGATGATCACATTCTTTGTGTATCCTGGAATATCTTGTGGTATGGCGCGAAGGTCCTTGGAAACACATTTCACTGTGCGCGTGTCAGCAAAGCATTGGCAGCCTGATGGGCACTCCAAACACTGGCGGGGCGCACAGAGTAGCGCACCAAAAAGCATAAGTATCACTAAATTATGCATAACTCAACAGAAAAGTTCTAAACTGACAAATACCAGAATATACAGAAGGAGCAGGTGATGGTGAGTCCCATTACGCCGTATCATGCACATCAATTATGATATAACGGTACAATGAGGTGTTAGCCTTTCGTTGTTGCTAAATGATAGCCCAATGGTTTGTGTCTGCATTGAGTGAGAGTGAGACGGATGTTTCATCTGCTGAGCAACAGGACCGGCGAATTGTTGGCTTGAGTTGAAATACCAGCGCAGAATCAAGGAGAGGAATAACAGTGAACGTTTTTTAAAGGCACAGACACGCATAATATTCTACTATCCACGCAGTACACAGTACAGTAGACCTCTGTGGTGTATTTGTGTGATATGATTTAACAGTTTATAAACAATGAACAAGTAGGCCATGCATATTATGTAAATTCATTTCCATTTCTTCAAATAAATAACAACAAAAAACGTAAGTATTGCCTTTCCAATAAATAACAACAAAAAACAGAGGGCTGTGCTGCACGGCCCAGTACATTTAATAATTTGGGCGGTGCTTATATTTGTCCTGTTACACACAAGTGTGTAATGGATGTTTTTTTTTTTTTTTTTTTTGCATATCCCAACTCCCCTGAGACACCTGCAGGGAGTGGGGTCACGGCCAGGGTCGCCATTGTACAGAGCCCCTGGAGCAATTAGGGTTAAGTGCCTTGCTCAAAGGCACAGCGACAGATTTGCTTTTCACCTTGTGGCTCCGGTATTCGAACCCAACGCTCTAACCTCGAGGCTACGTGCTGCCCTCACTTGGGTCGAGCTCCCTGCCATCCAGGACCTCAATAACAGGTGTTTAAAGACTCCAGTCATCCAAGTCATAGACTGTTCTCTCTGCTACCATACGGCAAGCAGTACCGATGCACCAAGTCTGGAACCAACAGGACCCTGAACAGCTTCTACCCCCAAGCCATAAGACAGTTAAATAGTTTAGTTAAATAGTTAACCAAATAACTATCCGGACTATCTGCATTGACCCTTTTTGCACTAACTTTTTTGACTCATCACATACGCTGCTGCTACGGTTGATCTATCCTGTTGCCTAGTCACTTTATTCCTAGTTATATGTACATATCTACCTCAATTACCTCGTACCCCTGCACATTGACTCAGTACTGGTACCCCATGTATATATAGGAAGGTTAGCGTTACTCTGTGTATTTATTATTACTTTTCTATTATTTCTCTATTTTCCTTCTCTCTGCATTGATGGGAAGCATCTCACTGTTAGTCTACACCGGTTTACGAAGCATGACAAATACAATTTGATTTGACTTTACTAGCCTATATGGTATAGCCTATTTCCCACAATTTCTGTAATTCTATCGAATGCGTGGTCATGATTATGTACTACTGTACAGTATATTACCATTCCCAAGCATGTTGCTTCAGAGAACTTATTGCATGAAAAATGAATACTGTCTGATAAAATACAGTAAACAATTACAAAGTAAAATGATGAGCTGGTATTAGCTGGGGCATTTAAAGAGCAGTAGTTCTTGACAGAGGGCCCACACTGGTTAAATGGAGTTTAGGGGTCAGTGAAAGAGACCAATATGAATTTATGACCATAGACAATACATTTACATTTAAATTCTCTTCATTTAGCAGATGCTATATCAGTTCTATATCTATGGTTATGACTATTCCAAGCCAAACATTCATTTATACAACATTCCTTTCTGAATCGAGTAAAAGGTACTTCAAAACAAGCCAGAACAGCTGGACATAACTGCCCTCATGACACCTTTCTGATGGATGTCGGAGAGTGTGAATATTAGTACTGCACAAAGAAGTGTCCCATCGAAATGTTTCTTCTTCTTCTTTCCCTTTTGTGATTACAGCTGAGCAGGAAAATCCCTTGTATTATCTCTCCACTCCTCCATCTCCCTCTCCGTGTCCCTTCAAATCAAATCAAGTCAAAACAAATGTTATTTGTCACATGCGCTGAATACAACAGTGGAATGCTTACTTACAAGCCCTTAACCAACAATGCAGTTTTAAGAAAGAATACCCCCCAAAAAAGGGGCACCGGTTAGTCGAGGTAATTGAGGTAATATGTACATGTAGGTAGAGTTCCTTGTGTGGTCAGTGCAGGTTGAGCGTTAGGATGAAGGTGACGAGGGCTCCAGTCAGCATGAGGAAGGGCAGCCAGGTCTTGAGGAAGGCCACACAGCTGGGGAAGGACAGTGGGAGAGAGAGAGAGAGCACAGTGAGAGTGGTAACAGCAGCCATTAAATCCTCACATTTCAGCAGTTGGTCAAAAACACATTCAAAAACACATACTCTAAGACATTTGTCATCTATACTGCCCTACAAAGGCAAAACACAGTAACTACACATTTTTGGTCAAAATTGAATTAAGACTGAAATCAGGCTTTGTAGTATCAGTTTTATCTTGTGACAAAGTGACCTGGTTCAATTATGTTCCGTTTCAGAGAAAGTTTGAGTTTGAAATTTGCAGCAACTACAAAATCCAAGTAAAAACCCAGGAAAACAGCAGTAACTGAAGTTACTGCACTTTGGCTTTGTTCCACCATGTTTTGACTGCAGTTACCAGCTCTGCAATACAAAGAGCAGTAACTATGCAAACAGTGAAACTGAGAAAAATTGCTTATTATTTATTTGCTGTCCAGCCAAATATGTTGTAGGTAGATAAGTGATAATTCACTGATTTATTATCTTATTCTGAAGTAATTTTATATGCATATCAACAATGAGCACTGATTTGACCAATGACCCTTAAGTCAAATAAATGACCATACAAAGTCAAACAGAAAAACAACAAGAGTGTTGGATAAACACATTTAGATTGTAGATTCTGCACAAAGTCAAGAAAATGTTTTTAGGTATAAACATTCTACGTGATGAAACAGTCCTTAGTTTATGGCGATAAAATGCTTGAGGGTTACCTTTGCCTTTGTAGGGCAGTACATAGGGACCGGTAAGGACGTGCAGTCGGTAAAATTTCCCCGAAGCCAGGGTAATTTACACAGGGCACTGAGGGCAGACCAACTACCCTTATCTCCCAGAGGTTTACCCAACACCCTCCCCCTCACTCCCTCCCCGTCCTCCACCCTCTCCTTCACCCCTGTCCCCCCCTGATCCAGTAGTGAGAGCCCCAGCAGAGAGTTGATGTGGTGATGAGGGGGCCACATCTGGCAATGATTAATTACATGGCGCCCCACTGTTTAAGGATGTGGTGCCCTCGGACGATAATGTGGAGGCTGCACAAAGCAGTGACGCCAGCTCCCTATGTGGGTCGGGGGAGAATAATGAGGGGGTTTCTCCACAGCGTCTGGAGCTCCTCTGTCCCTTCTGCAGGGGTGCATGCGTGCTTGTTCAGACTCGGCGATGCTCTGTTTTGTCATGCAGACAGGTGTTGAATAGTTTGCTTCTGCCCATTTCATCAGCATGTCTGATTCTATCCCTTCCACACCAGTTAGTCAAATGATCCAGAGGAAACGCACATACACATAGAGGGATCGGTCAGTCAGAATGATGCTTTGTGAGTGCCAAGTATTGTTGTATAGAAGGTCCAGTGTTCGTGCCTAGGTTAGGACAGGAATGAGCATACTCTGTTACATACAGTAGAGTACCTCTTCATTGCATAATTGCATGGTATCTCACCTGACATGCTTGCCATGGATAAGGGACTGCAGGCATAGGTTGACCATGTTCCAGGATGTTCTGTTGTCATAACGCATGAGGTTGAGGGCCAGGGCCACGTGGGAGTGGCAGTTATCACAGCAGAGGTTGTGCTACAAGAGACAGAGGAAGAAGGCTAGTCAGGTCTAACTCTAGGTGTTTTTGTCAATATCGCTACAATGGGCCTTTACAATCATTGTACGAAACATGTACATATAAATACCTTTACCCTTTACAATAGGCCTTTCCTGAAAACATTCAATAGGTCTTTTTTGAAGGTGTTCAATAAACCTTTTTGATGGTGTTCAATAGGCCTGTTTTGAAGATGTTAAATAGGCCTTTTTTGAAGATGTTCAATAGAACCTAGGAAGGAAATATAATTCCACTACTAGACCCTCCTGTCTGTCTCATTATGACACTGTCAATGTTCATACCGGCCTGCATTTGTACTCCTCCGATGCATCGTGCACAGCCTTGTCCCAGGCAGCTGAGCCAGTGCCACACACCTTATCAACATCAAGCTTCCAGTACCTGTTAAGAGACAAGCAATGTTGCAAATACCTTACTACATAACTGCAATGCCTGCATGTCAATTTTGAGCACTATATGCCAGGCCTAGCTCCAAGCATTGAACGAACAAAGCCAACTTACTTTGTTGGTCTTCCAAAGGCCATATTATCTTCCTGAAAGGAAATATGGGAAATGTTGAGGAACTATCACGAAACAGATGGTCCAATAATAACATTAGGCTTATTAGGCTTATGCACATAAAGCTGTAGGCCTACTGTCATAAATCAAGATCTGCATATACTCACAGACACAAAGTATGATCCAGCGAAGTCTCTTATCACGCCTGCAGAAGTACAGATCCCCATGTGACCAATGAAGGGGAGCAACCACCTGAACAAAACAGAGGTACAGCACTGTATTGGGGGGTCTTGGGAATAAAGAGTGCGCGCATATTATAGGGCATCTAACGGTATGGGCATTTTAATTCCAGCCACATAGTATTTGGAAAATTCACTAGTTATAATGCAAGCTAGTGATTTAAATGTCCACAAGATGTGCTACCCTACATGACCATTGATGTTTATCAACATGATCTGTCACGTAAATAGTGTCTCCATTTCAGATTGTGAGCAAAAGAAAACAACCGGAAAAGTGGCTACTCACGACAATATTGGAATAGGTGTCCAAACGATACAATACGGATAACGGCTGTTTTTCCGGTCTATTTTTTCGTATCCCCCGTTATAATTAATCATTATGTCTATTTCATCCGCCATCAGTAATTTTGACAGTGTGACGCCGGCTATGGCTGCTAAACTAACTGCGTAAAACTGCGTAGGCGCGTATGGCTGCCGCGTTCCAGACCGTCTGCAAAGAAGTCACGCACCAAATCTCACAAAGCCAGCCTGGATATTAATTAAAGGCCCAATGCAGCCGTTTTTTATCAATATCAAATAATTTCTGGGTAACAATTAAGTACCTTCGATTTCCATTAAAATGGGAAAATAGCTTTTTAGCAAAAAAAAGATTTATCAAAGATCCAATGTGAAGAAGCCGGATATGGTTGTGAGGCTGGTTGGACATACTGCCAAATTCTCTAAAACGATGTTGGAGGCAGTTTATGTTAGCGAAATGAACATTCCAGAAGTCTGCATGCCAATTGCATGTTCCCTTAAAATTTGAGACATCCGTGGCATTGTGTTGTGTGACAGAACTGCACATTTTAGTGGCCTTTTATTGTCCCCAGCACAAGGTGGACCTGTGTAATGATCATGCTATTTAATCAGCTTCTTGATATGCCACACCTGTCAGGTGAATGGATTATCTTGGCAAAGGAGAAATGCAAATTTGTGCACAACATTTGAGATAAATAATATTTTTGTGCTTACGGAAAATGTCTGGGATTATGAAACATGGCACCAACACTTTACATGTTGCGTTTATATTTTTGTTCAGTGTATCTAGGTCACCCTCATTAGTTTATGTAAGACAGGTGTTTCCAACACCCCTCTAACTCCCAACTCTCCTTGGCAGATGATGTATTATGCACATATTAAAAAGTCAGCAAAAGCTGAAACGCTAAAATACATTTTTAAATGACAGGAAAGCTCCACTTTGTTCATCATGTTGGAGTTGCCCAGATATTCAGGGACCTCAGCTGCATCTTGCCAGGAGCAGAGATACTGAATGGATAGTTGTGGACCTGTGTGTAGCCTAGGAACAGTGTGCAGGTGGAAAACATGACTAATACAATCCAAATCATCATTACCCTGGTTAAATACAGGTCGGAGGTGAAACACAAATTCGAGACAAGTGGTTCAACAATATTAGTCCTCTTTTATTTTTCTCTTGCAGCAAACTGTCATTGGATTTTTCCCAAAGAAAAATAAACAAATAAAACATTTCTTAAATTATTTTTTAACAAAGAAATTACACATGGAAGCCTAGTGTTTGAGGACTCCATCCTTAAGTCATCAGTGAGCTGGAGGTTTGCTGGCCGGCCAGAGGACCGAGAGGCTCATTGTCCAAATTTGCCCATTTACAATCTCATATAACCTCATAAGCAGAACTCCAACTGCAGCAGAGGACTCATGCTGGGTCCAAAGCTACAGGAAGGGAAAAATCCCTATCCCAATCTTCCCCCAAAAGGATCTCAAGAAGATATTTTCTGGGGAAAGCTGAAAGTGCTCGTGTGGGGACCCTGATCCCCAAAAGCCACCAAATGGATGGCCTCTATGCCATGCATGAGTGATATTAGGACTGGTGGTATTGCCCTAGGGTAGTGTAATACCCTTCTCTCTCCATCACTTTACCTCTCTCTGTTCAGAGCGTCAGTCCAACATAGGTTAACGTTCCCATAATTCCCAGAAATGCTGGTTGGAAGATTCCCGATTTCATGCTTATTTCCATCCGGATCCCGGTAATCTACCAACCGGGATTTCTGGAAAAACTGGGAATTTTGTGGAAATTACCAGAATTTTGCAACCTTAGTACAACAAAGTTCGACAGATTTTCCAGACCAATCAACACCTGACTATCAATGAAATCAAACCCCCTAAACTTAACCCCACAACCCTCCTTTAGAATTATCTGTCTCTACATCGTTATCAACAAATGACAGAGGAGCAAATGTCTAAGTGTTGGAGAAAATGTGAGGAGCTACTGCTTCAGTTTGACAGCTTTGTCTTAACCTACATAATAAAAGTAAAAGGGAAACATTTTGCATACCTGTCAATAAAATAGGCATATATAGCCACATGAATAACTTCTCAACGATAACAGACAAAGCAAATGCAACATGAATCCTTGGCCATTTTTACTTTCAAAACTTTTAACAAATGAAAAATCGAACAAGAGAAAAACTTGTTTTTTTGCCAAACCGTGTTTAAAAGAAACAAGGTGCACAATCCTATCAACACATTTAATTTGAGTTGGAGAAACACTTCAAGACTGGGTAACACTTAAAGGCAAGACTTCTTGTGCTCTCTTCCTGTTGACCAATATTCCAACGACTTTAAAAAATGATTGTAAATCGAAAACTTTAGGTAGAGACTTTCAGAGCTGGAGAGGGGCTGAGAGTGACCTCTTATACTCCATTTGAAAAGCCCACTAGAGATGAAACAAAGCAACTTCCTGTGGCCTCAAGTCTCATCCTCCAATGAGGACACTGACTATTGGGGCCTCGCTTTGACCTCTAACCTCTGAGCCGTCTGCAGGCTACACTACCAGAGGCCTGGGGCTTCTGCTTGTAGTGTTTCCCTCCAACGTGCTCCTTCTTGAAGAGGGTTTCGAAGTGGTTGACTCCTAGCTCATAGTGAGAGATTGGGGAGTGATGGAGTGCTCTCCTCTTCTTTACCGTATAGGCCCAGTACCCCCAGGCATGGAGCAACGGAGGGAGAGGCCGAGGTGATGTCGTTGGTGTTCTTAAAGGGGTGAAAGGTCGTTGTTGTCACCCCTGTGGAATCCCCTCGCCAAACTGGTTTCCTCCAATCCTGTCTCGGGATGTGAAGGAGGAGGGCGGTGCATAGCGCAGAGCTGTGACATGACATTCACTCGATGTTGCCTTCGCTTTAGAGGGGTGAATGAAACATTGACAAACGGAATATCTATGGTGCTTTTTTCCCCTCCTCACAGACACACACACAGACGTACACACAGACAGCCTCAGGGTTTGGGAGGGGGTAGGGGAGGAGTGCCTTGCGTCCTGCTGCCTCCATACTGTATGTGGTGTTGGGCCTGCTAGTCTAGCTGGGCCGGCACTGCACCTGGCCGTCTGAGCTGTCCTCATCGTCTGAGCCCTCTGGCCCGCGGCCACTGAGGCCCGTGATGCGGTAACCCATGTTGAGCAGCATGACCTCCAGGGGGTCGGCGTTCATACGCCGCTGGTTGGCTGCAGCCGCGCCCTCCATGTCCTCCACCACGCGCCCGTTCCCACTCTCACTCTCCGTCTGGATGATGGAGGGAAAAGGATGGAGAGAAAGAAAGGTAAGAAAAGGGTTTACTTCTGGTGTATTGTAAAGTCAGCCTTTTTTACATCAGACTACTACAAAGGAGGCCATAGGAAAGGATAGATCATAGTGCAGCCTTAATTGTGACAATCCAATAATCAGATGTACTATTGTGTTTATTTATTTATTGCGCAATCCTTGATCATTTTTAATGCATGTATTGGCAGTTCTTGGCTGTAAATGTATTTTTTTTATCATCAAATACATTCTATCAAAGAATCAATCATGTTGGTGATTGAATGGATTGCTTTTTAAATGCATCTACTCTATACAGTGGCTTGCGAAAGTATTCACCCCCCTTGGCATTTTTCCTGTTTGTTGCCTTACATCCTGGAATTAAAATGGATTTTTTGGGGGGTTTGTATCATTTGATTTACACAACATGCCTACCACTTTGAGGATCCAAAATATTTTTTATTGTGAAACAAACAAGAAATAAGACAAAGAAAACAGAAAACTTGAGCGTGCATTACTAGTCACCCCCCCAAAGTCAATACTTTGTAGAGCCACCTTTTGCAGCAATTACAGCTGCAAGTCTCTTGGGGTATGTCTCTATAAGCTTGGCACATCTAGCCACTGGGATTTTTGCCCATTCTTCAAGGCAAAACTGCTCCAGCTCCTTCAAGTTGGATGGGTTCTGCTGGTGTACAGCAATCTTTAAGTCATACCACAGATTCTCAATTGGATTGAGGTATGGGCTTTGACTAGGCCATTCCAAAACATTGAAATGTTTCCCCTTAAACCACTCAAGTGTTGCTTTAGCAGTATGCTTAGGGTCATTGTCCTGCTGGAAGGTGAACCTCCGTCCCAGTCTCAAATCTCTGGAAGACTGAAACAGGTTTCCCTCAATAATTTCCCTGTATTTAGCGCCATCCAACATTCCTTCAATTCTGACCAGTTTCCCAGTCCCTGCCGATGAAAAACATCCCCACAGCATGATGCTGCCACCACCATGCTTCACTGTGGGGATGGTGTTCTCGGGGTGATGAGAGGTGTTGGGTTTGCGCCAGACATAGCGTTTTCCTTGATGGCCAAATAGCTCAATTTTAGTCTCATCTGACCAGAGTGCCTTCTTCCATATGTTTAGGGAGTCTCCCACATGCCTTTTGGCGAACACCAAACGTGTTTGCTTAAAGAAAAAAATAAGCTATGGCTTTTTTCTGGCCACACTTCCGTAAAGCCCAGCTCTGTGGAGTGTACGGCTTAAAGTGGTCCTATGGACAGATACTCCAATCTCCGCTGTGGAGCTTTGCAGCTCCTTTAGGGTTATTTTTGGTCTCTTTGTTGCCTCTGATTAATGCCCTCCTTGCCTGGTCCGTGAGTTTTGTTGGGCGGCCCTCTCTTGGCAGGTTTGTTGTGGTGCCATATTCTTTCCATTTTTTTATAATGGATTTAATGGTGCTCCGTGGGATGTTCAAAGTTTCTGATATTTTTTTATAACCCAACCCTGATCTGTACTTCTCCACAACTTTGTCGCTGACCTGTTTGGAGAGCTCCTTGGTCTTCATGGTGCCGCTTGCTTGGTGGTGCCCCTTGCTTAGTGGTGTTGCAGACTCTGGGGCCTTTCAGAACAGGTGTATATATATACTGAGATCATGTGACACTTAGATTGCAAACAGATGGACTTTATTTAACTAATTATGTGACTTCTGAAGGTAATTGGTTGCACCAGATCTTATTTAGGGGCTTCATAGCAAAGGGGGTGAATACATACGCACACAGCACTTTTCCATTATTTATATTTTAGACTTTTTTGAAACAAGTAATTTTTTTCATTTCACTTCACCAATTTGGACTATTTTGTGTATGTCCATTACATGAAAGCCAAATAAAAATCCATTTAAATTACAAGTTGTAATGCAACAAAATAGGAAAAATGCCAAGGGGGATGAATACTTTTGCAAGGCACTGTATATAGTGTCCTTGGTGCTGATGTGTTTTATACATCCCGTATCTTGCTGTATGTAGCCTACCATTCCACACAAAATAAGTTTGCTCATGGGGGAAATTAAATTATTTGAATTTAATTTAATATAATTGAATAATGTTGTTAATGACCTCTGGCCTTGGGTTCCAGAGCCGCACCACAGGGTCGATGCCGCTGGTAGCCAGGAAGCAGTAACTGGGGTGAGGCTGCAGGCAGTTGACTATGGATTCGTCCCCCTGGAGGATCCGCACCAGGTTAGCAGTCTCCTTCTCCCAGATGAAGAAGGAGCCGTCGTCGGAGCCGCTCACAATGTACTGGCCTTTACTGGGGGGGTGACGAGAGATTATATATACACCAAACAAAAATAAAACGCAACATGTAACTATTTCAAAGATTTTACTGAGTTACAGTTCATATAAGGAAAATCAGTCAATTTAAATAAATAAATGAGGCCCTTATCTATAGATTTCAAATGACTGGGAATACAGATATGCATCTGTTGGTCACAGATCCATTTTTTAAAAAGTAGGGGCGTGGATCAGAAAAACAGTCAGTATCTGGTGTGACCACCATTTGCCTCATGCAGTGGTACACATCTCCTTCGTATAGAGTTGATCAGGCTGTTGATTGTGGCCTGTGGAATGTTGTCCCACTCTGTTCACAACGTTGACATCAGCAGCCGTGGTCTGTGGCTGTGAGGCGGCTTATGGTAGAGAAATGAACATTCAATTCTCAGGCAACAGCTCTGGTGGACATTCCTGCAGTCAGCATGCCAATTGCATGCTCCCTCAAAACTTGAGACATCTGTGGCATTGTGTTGTGACAAAACTGCACATTTTAGAGCAGCCTTTTACAGCACAATGATCATCCTGTTTAATCAGCTTCTTGATATGCCACACCTGTCAGATGAATGGATTATCTTGGCAAAGGAGAAATGCTCACTAACAGGGATGTAAACAAATTTGGGATCTTTTATTTCAGCTCATGAAACATAGGACCAACACTTTACATGTTGCGTTTATATTTTTGTTTCGAGCGAGAGAACTGTTAGACCTTGTCATTGTTTGACACGGCACACAGGTGGCAGAGACATTTCGGTAACATTTTATTTGAAGGGTACTTAAATAAGGACTTCATAATGCATTCTTGATCAAAACAAGGCATTCATAAGCAGTACATGAGCATTCTTTCATTCTTATGTCAACTACCGCAATTTGATAACTTATGAACTGCTCATGAATCCGTTATGAAGTTCTTAAGGAGGCAGCGAAGTTTCTATAGAACAGCATCATGTGTTTCTTTTTTAAAAGGGCTGAAAATAATGTTGCACACTATTATATATGTTCCCAAAAATTGAATTAGTAAACATAACGTTAGTCAGCACCTCTACAAAAAATGTGTGCGTCAGCGCATGCTTTTTACTTTTCTTTACATGTCAACAACTAATATTAACATATAGAGTGGTTTTAGTGTCTAAAATGCTCCACTGACCTGCCAAAGAAGTTGGCCTCCTTGATGTCTGTGGTGGTGTTGCAATGACCACAGTAGCGGTGTTTGTAGTCGTAGCTGCGCTCTCTCAACACGACCTCGTCTTCCGGGATGGGCTCCTTCCTGCTGAACGTGTGGAAACGGATCGAGCTGTTGCCCTTTTTGTCCTCAGCTATGAACAGACACGACATGGAAATAAACAAAAACAAACAAATAAAACAACGCATTATATCAAATCAAATCCGTACACTAACTAACACTGTATTAATTTGCACAATTGCCTTTGTGGTATACATAAGGTATTTTGAATTGAAGCAACATATCAACACATAAAAAAACATATTGTAAGTCAATGTGGGGAAAGGTGATGGAAAAGGGTCAGCCAAAATCACACTTTATTTGTGGGGGGAAATGATTACCCAACCCAGCATCACCATTTAACCCCTTCTCACCAGAGTCCATCTTGGAGAAGAGGGCGGCCTTGATGTCCTTATCCAGGGCGTCGCAGGCGCTGCTGTGGGCTTGCTCGGGGAACTTGCCCTTGAAGTCATCCAGGCACTCCAGAGCCTCAGCCACGTACTTCAGCTCAAAGAGGCAGCGCGCCAGCCGGAAGTGGGCCTTCAGGTGCCCAGGGTTGAGGGACAGGGCCTTCAGACAATCCCTCAGCGCATCGTAGTGGTCACCGTCCCTGGGGGGAGAGAGAGAACACATCACACACACAACTGTAAATACCACACAGTCACACACACAATGTGTGTACCAGCATAGTGGTAAACCGTTTTAAACGTGGTGAAACAGGGACGTTATACCTGAACTCATCAATTTCGCTACAGTATGCCCTACTGAACATGACCATGTTCTGTAATAGGAGAAACACAGAAGGAGAGTAGATGAGGCTAGGGGTCAGCTAGGGGTCAAGATTGAAAAAGCCTCCTACCACTTGCGCTTCATGTAGGCGGCAGCACGGTTCCCGTACAGCATGGCGTTGTGGCTGGCCTCGTGGATGCCCAGACTGTACAGCTGGATGGCCTGAGTCCACTGCTGCCGCGCAAACGCGTCGTTGGCTTGCTGCTTTATCCGCTCCAAGTGAGGCGGCAGATCACCAGAACTAGGGAAGAAAGATGAGAGGAGGACGAGATGAGAGAGTGATAAGAGAGAAACTAGGGATGTCACCTCCCATAGCGTTGTGTTTCTATAAATACACTAGGGCTAAGCTATCTGTTGCTGAATGTAATATGTGGGTGAAAATTAACGATTAAAATCAAACGTGAGAAAAAGGTTACCCAGAGAAGACTTTGCTTTCTGCGAATCGAAGTCGGCTGGCTGGCAAGTGAATTCCATTTGACACACCGTTGGTTGTCTTTCCATTCTGAACATCTGTTGGGATATCAAGATTTTAGAAATCCCCATACAGTTCTGGGCATTACAAAGTTACAAAGTACTGCAGCACAGTAAAGAACATTTGCCGCAAAGTAACTGCACTGTCAGGGACATTTTTCAAAAATGCATTTCATTCCATGGGTTATTGTCAAGTGATTGATAATGACCTTGGTGGTTGTCACCCTGCGAGAGAGTAGTTTGTCACATTGACAATGTACCTTGACATACATTGCTGCTGCAAGGCATTTTGAAGAATTCACTTTTTAATGCCCAGATCTGTATATAAACTATGGGCAGACCTTCAGCGAGCAACTACACCCCTCCATATAACTCATTGGTCATAAATAATGCATACTGTACATGTCATTTTAATGGCCAAATACTGTAGTAAGCTTTGGGCTATTTCCATAGTCATAATACCTGTTAATTGGCACTTTTTCGGAAGCAGATAGGTGTACGGTTTCTGTTTGAACGTCAAGTCAAATAGATACACCTGCAGACAAGAGAAAATATATTCCCGGCAAAGTTACCCTTCTGACCCAACCACATGTAAATCAACAACTTGAATGATTTGGTTTGAGAGTTAAAGTAGTATGCTTGTTGGGAATTCAAACCTGACAATCTGAGAAAGAGATGGATTTTTGCCTAGTGGGCTGACCTGGAGGTTTGACCTGAAATAAGAGTTTAACTTCTAGGACGTTTCCTATTCTAGGATGTTTCCACTTCTAGGAAGCAGCCTTACCTGTTCTCCTCCCATGTTAACTAGCAGCTCGGTGCCGTCGGGGCTGAAGGTGACGTAGGTGGCCACCAGGACCCTCAGGCGGTTATTGTAGTCAGGGAGCTTCACTGGCAGGTGCCCTGAGGTGATGGAATAAGGAGAAGAAGTTGGGTGAGAGGCATACAGAATCACTTTACCTGTCACACTAGTTTAATTCCATATATTGCAAATGACTGCGTTATAACTCACACATTGAACATGTGTTTTTTTACTGTTTATAATGCATTGTAGATACTGTATGGGCTTCATAGAAAGTGTTCACAGCTGTTTTTTATTAATACATTTTGTGCAATAAGCCAAACCATACGATCACACACACACACCTGCGACATAATACTGCCCCGCTCCGTCTGGGATGGGCTTCTGCCTGTCGCAGAATGTGTGCACTCCTGCCGATGTGCTCTGACTCGCAGACTTCCTGTGAATGGGAGTGGAGAAACATAAATGATTACCAAATCATGCTCCATCTGTGTATATAAAAAGTCTCAAAGCTGAGAAAAGAACATTGGTATGACTGATGATAGCCCAGAGTAGTAGGGAGACATATTAAACGTTCTATCCAATAGTCGTGCATATTCCTTATGAGATATGACATTTAAAAACTATTCAATTAAAAACTCAAATTTGACAGTCAAGCAGTGAGAGCTAAATCCTAACTTCAGATTTGAGATGACTTGGACTTTCACGTAATTGTATTGATTTCAATGGAAACTTGAGTCACATACATCGATCTCAAGTTAGGATTCGGGCCTGTCTACTCCTCACCTGTGGTTGTGGATCATGCGCATGTCGTAGAGGCGTACAAAGGGCCCGTTGGCGCCCACTGCTAGGTAGTTATTATTTTGCGGGTTGACAGCCAAACACTTAGCCTCCACCAGCTGACCACAGTATTCCGTCAGGTCGATGAGCACCTCCGAACGCTTACTGCTCTCCCTCAGGTCATATTGCCTAAAGTATTAGTAGAAGAAAGCACATCATGATGACATCAATCATCTCCAGAGAGTCAGAGCTAAGCTCTTTAAAATATTGTTTGTTTTGAATTCTATCAAATACTAGACTTTTGCAAGGTTTAAATTGCATGTAAGTTGTTGCAAAACCGCAATTTGTGTCCAAAGCCAGCTTGCTCAAAAACAAACAACTAACTACTATACTCTGTACGTGGGAGCCATATTTTGAGGTTGTAGACTACTGATTGGGTTAGTCAAAAAACAAAAACATAAGCCATCATTGCAACATTGGCCCTTTGAGTCATAAGCAAGGGGGCAGACAGGCAGTGAAGTACAGGGGAAAGTCAGGCAGTGATGTACTGTAGAGACAGTAGGATACTAAAGCCCCCCCCCATCATTCACTACCTGTGTCTGAGCTGACCCCCCTATGGGAACCATAGCCTGAAGCCAACCACGCATCTGCAGTAGTCCACAATGCCAACTGCACACCTGAGCTTTCAAGGATACTTAAAGGGTATTGTCTGGAGATACATTAATCTCCAAGACAGTGTGTGATGGAAGTGCTGCTGGAGGCATGTGGCCACAGAGTCCCAGAGAAGTCCCTGGGAGAGCCAAGGAACTGGTAGGGAACGGCTTGAGGTAAGGAAGGGGCCCACGGCATAACACTTCCATTCCAACCTTACTGTTTCATGTCATCTTTTCACCTTCGACATTCTACTACAAGCCAGTAGAAATAACATGATGCATCTGACAATTTATCTGACACAGTGTCACCTTAACCAATGAACATATTTGGATGCTCCAATGGTTAGCTAGCTACAGGGGCTCTGACCTGATGATGCCGTCCTCCGCAGCGCTCCAGAAGGTGTTAGGCCACATGGGGGCCGTAGCGATGCGCTTGACACGGTTGGTGTGGTCGGAGAACATGTGGATGGTCTCCTTGACTGACACATCATGCACGTGAACCTTGGTGTCTGCTGCACCCGTCACTAGGATACGGTCACCTGAGTGAGGGAGAAACTGCAAAGGGGGGGACGGGAAAAAAACGAGAATAAAATAAGAAACAATAAGAAAGAAGCTTCATTTCTACACACAGACTTTCCCCATCAAGCAGTTTATGTTTTTACCTTCACAGAGAAGATGTTTGCTGCATGCCCTGTGTGCATAGTGGTGAGCTTCTTGTGTTTGAAGGGGTCCCAGATTATGCAATGTTGGTCATCTGAGCCCGATGCCAGCAGACTGCATAGAACAAGAGCAAACATTACAGATAGGCCAACATAAATGTAGACGTGGTAAATATGGTCAGTAAATAGAACCCTGGTTTCAGCTCAGGACCTACTCTCCCCGTTCATTCCATTCTAGGCAGTTGACACACCCAGTGTGGCCCTGTTGACACAACAGATACAGTCAGATTGGCAAAGATGTTAATGCTGAATGTGTGCAGAAACACACACACACACACACACACACACACACACACACACACAAACAAATCACCTGCAGCTCTGCCTCCAGTCCAAGTCTATTGATGAAGGGGTCCGTGACATGATACTGCCTTTGGAAGCCCAATGCTCTTTTGTCCTGCAGACATTAAGGCAAAACATCACCTGTCTCCCCCCAAAATCTCCTGTCTCACTCTGTCCAACATAATTAAAGCATTTCAGTGTACTAGTGTTCATTACTGAATAGATTGCAATGCAGATTGCATTTGAGGGTTGTTGATTTTTTTATCCAGAAAACGAAATATGAAAATTCAGGTCAAAGTCAAATTTTAAATTCTGTGGGAATTAACTAGGTCGGTTTGTTTGGGTAAAATAGTACAGTATTTCATAAAAACAGGGGCTTAAAACGTTGGACTCACCCTGATCTGCCTGTGCAGGATGTCTCTGGTGATGTTCACAGCAGACATGGCCTCACAGCAAGTCATTGAGCACGGACTAGAGGTGCAGGGTCAAAGGTCAGATGGCATCTGCACAGTCTCTAGGAATGGGCTGCAACTTGAGAAATTGAATAGAACGGACATCAATGGACACTGGAGTAATGTACACCTCCTAAATAGATGAGGGGTTCCCAAGTGTTTTGAGGTTTAAATACTGAAACATAACTGTTAGCTAACTAGAACGTCAACTGGTTATATCTCAGCTAGCCAAGTGGCGGTCTTCAGATAGCTATGTACACACAATTCCTTCCTAATACTAGCCATTGCGACTGATGTTTACATTAGCCAACTAACGGTAGCTAGCTGGATTAGCTGCTGGGAGGCTAGCTACCAATAGCCAATAATAACAAGCCGTATACGCACACAATGACAGCAGGCTGGGTTGGCCTCCCAAAAACACAGACATACAGATACAGCCCCGTCACCGTAACTAGATATTTCTGGCATTCCCTAAAAAAAAGCGTTGTACCTGTGTCGTCTGGCCTTCACCTCGAAATCGTTCCCAATCTTTGCCCAAGTTTCCAGATAACGATAGAGCCAGCTATCCAGCCAGCTAAGTTCCTGAGCTACAGTAGCTAGCTAGCTAAGCTAACGTGAGATGATTTATTCAAGAAACGGGGAATTCTCAATGCACTAGTTCTCTATCTATCTAGCACTTTAGCTACTCCTTACCAATGAAAGTCAAACTGTAGCAAGAGCGCTTCATATTCAATATTTTGCTAAGAATTTACAAGTGTTGACTGTCACTACTTACATTGGTTTCTCAACTGACTGAACCCTCCCACTACCCTTACGTGAACAAGCTGACGTGAACTATGCCTTTGTATACGAAGTTTAGGAAGAAAATTATGAGTACACCACTCTGTGAATTGCACCGCTGTTTTCTTTTTCGTCGCACGACTGTACTGTTGAGTGACAGGTCAATTCCACAAATGAAAAAGTTGCAAAGATCCTTTGCATGTTTTTATTTTATTTTTCCAGTGGTGTAAAGTATTTAAATAAAAATACTTTAAAGTACTACTTAAGTATTTTTTGGGGGATATCTGTACTTTACTTTAATATTTATATTTTTGACAGCTTTTACTTTTACTTCACTACATTCCTAAAGAAAATTATGTACTTTTTACTCGATACATTTTCCCTGTCAAGCAAAAGTACTCGTTACATTTTGAATGCTTAGCAGGACAGAAAAACATCCCTGGTCATCCCTACTGCCTCTGATCTGGCAGACTCGCTAAACACAAATGCTTAATTTGTAAATTATGTCTAAGTGTTTGAGTGCCCCTGTCTATCCGTAAAGAAAAAAATTATGAACATTATACGTCTGATTTGCTTAATATAAGGAATTTGACATTATTTATGCTTAAGTATATTTTAGCAATTACATTTACTTTTGATACTTAAGTATATTTAAAACCAAATACTTTTAGACTTTTACTCAAGTAGTATTTTACTGGGTGACATACTTTTTAATAGAGTAATTTTCTATGAAGGTATCTTTACTTTTACTCAAGTATGAAAATGTGATACTTTTTCCACATCTATATTTTTCAACTTATTAACCTAATGCAATATGAGATCAGCAATGGCATTCAGCACTGTTTTCCTGTTGAGATGTATGAAGGAGTGTGGCTTGTGGGACAAAATAACGAATTAATAATAAATAATAATAATAATAATAATAAATGAATCCTGAAATCATTTATAAAATAATAGATATATCCTGATACATATGTAAATGGTCTTCCATTACTCTTAATCATGATTTTACTGCATGTCAGTGAGACTGGCCAGTGGCATGGACAATCGTCTCATAAAGTAGAAAGCACCTGTAGACATTCACCAGTGCTCACCGTTGTATCTACATTATGATATCAGATCAGTGCAGATGAGGAGAGGAAGCTGCTTTAGAGTATTGACTTTTTTAAATAGAGAAGCACAGAACTCAGCTCAGTGGAAGTCACAGGTGAACCTTGCTGCTGTGCAATTAACATAACAACCAAAGAGGTAGTGCTGAATTTCCCCAAACTTCATTGCAGCTTCTATTTATTACAACTGGTGGTCTGTCTTGGTGAGGCAAAGGGTTCAGTTCACAAGCTGGAGACAGGCATCTAAGGGTAAGCACCCATTCTATGGATGCTCAACTTCTTTCTTAGAGAAATTCTGAATGTGTTATTTAACCCTTGGCAAAGCTTGGCACAGAGGCTTCTTCTACACACTCTGAAGAAGGCATAGCAGCCGAAACACGTACGCATGTGGTTTTAATTATCCTTGTGGACATGACAAGATCATAAAGGCATTAACTTGCACCTAAAATGAAGAGTGACATGGTATTTCTTCAAATATGAACATTTTATCATTAATCATACAAAGACCACCTTCAAAATGTTTTGTACTCCTGTTTTCACCCAGGCAGCTCTCCTGCCTCTGCCTCTAATTCTAATTCTATGATCGATTTGTTGTGCCATAAACTGAAACTAAGTATGCTTTTTTTTCTTCTTCTGTGTATGTCAGGAAGTCAATGCCATGGTTCTGGAGATTTTGTGGAGACTATTGTCACCAGTGCAGTGGAGTCTGTGTCTTTTATCCCTTCTCCTACTTCCCATAGTATCAATTATATGTGCGATCCGTTCAAAAAGGTAATACTTCTTCCTGTATTATGGCCCTTTATGAGCATTTTTTAGGTATTGCTGACATCCTGTCTGCATTTTTCCATTAGTAGAAAGACGTCCAGGTTGTCATTGGCCGAAATGGGACAGATCTCTGGTGAAAGGGTCAGTGTACAAAATACCTGGGAATGTACCATTCACCTTACCAATTCATTTACATTACCATTGACTGTTGTTTGTGGATGTCCTGCTCCAGAAAATAGTACAACTTAATGTAAAGCTGGCATTCAAATGCATGGAATAATACTTATATGATTGCTCATTGCAGCGCCCAGATTCAATTGAGGTCACAACCTCAGAACTAAGGAAGAACATCATTGGACCAGCATCCTCAAAAAGAAAGTCAACCCAGTCCCAAAGAGAACACAGAGGTCAGAGTCAGTTGTGCATCACACTTGCAGTTGGACATGTTTCCCCACATCACACTCAGCTCACTGTTTATGTTTATGTTTCACTCTGTGCAGGGTCTTTCCCAGGGCAGGACACCCCAAGGCCGGTGAAGGCTTTGAGGCAGTTGCCTCCCTTACCTGAGCTGGAGAAGAGCAGTGTCCGACGACACAGCAGCTACACTGGGTCAGTAGTGTACGACGTTGTGGCCACAGAGGTCGGTAATCCATGGTCCCACTACAGACAACAAGGCTTCTCAACAACAGGCAGCAGACGGCAGCAACCACCTGGAGGAGGTAGATGAAAAGGGTGAAGTGCCGTTCCCGGTCTATGCCAAAGTCAAGAAAACCAAAGACTGCTCCAACTCATCAAGACGTTCACCACTGTATGCCAAAGTGAACAAGACTAGCTCCCGGACTGTGAAATCTGAACCACTGTACTGCAGTGACTGATAATAAGTCAACACTGTGACTGACTTCTTCCTCCAAATGCTAAATAGTCTACAATGTTTTACGACAAAAGCTTATTTGAGATCATTGCTTCAAATGCCAATCTGATTTGTGTAAACGTAATCCAATAGGTAGCAAGAGTAAAAAGTTTAAACTCACTCAGAGTCAAATGCATTAAGTTGTTTTGTTCTTTCTTAAATGTTTATATGCGTATGTATTCATGTTGTTTCTCAGGCCCACAATGCTACAAAGACACAGACATGTGGACTTCTGTTGTAATTTACTTGAGTCTCAAGACAACAAATTAAGTTTGTTTGCTCTATGTTCAATCATTCTACTGCATAATCTACCAATTATATAATAATCAGATCAAAGGACTACGTCAGACAAATGGAACGTTCCCATGTTTCCCTTCTATTTTAAAATGGGCGGGACTCTGAAGTTGCTAAAAGCTTGTAGTGTTGTTTGAGTCAAATCATAAACGGTTAGCTAGCGAAATTCTAGAACAGGTGGAGGAGAAGGAATTATTGAGAGCGAGCGAAATTACACGTGCTAATCGCGGCATACTTAATGAGTTAATTTGCAAGTATTGCAGAAAAGGTAGGTTTAGGTGAATAAATTATGTTACACTGTCGCAATTTGTTGCTAACGTTACTGATAGCTATGTCATTAACGCAACTTTGTTACCTAGCTACGTTAGCTAGTTAAAGTTGTTGTTCTTTGTATTGAGCTAGCAAGGTAATATTTGCTAGGCAGCCGACTAGCTTAGTAAGATAGCAAACTAGCTAACAACGTTAAATAGCTAGCTTGTTTAATAAAAAGCTAACAAACACAATTGACATGTAGCTAGCCATCGACTTTATATTATAGTTACGGTAGGTAGCTAGTTAGCTAACGTTAACTATCAAGCTAGTTCAAGTTAGGGTCCGTACTATTCTTCCCGGATAGCACTGATGGTAATAGCTAACGTTAACTGGCATAAGTTAAATCTAGGTAGAAAGAAACGAGATCTGTGTAGCTAACTAACTTAATCAGAGCGAGAATCATCGGTTTTCCAGTCCTTTGGACTAACTTCAACTGGAATATGGGACCTTCAGCTGATGTTGACATTGAGTGTTTCTGATACAACTGTGTAAATTCAGCTTAGACTCTCTCACACCCCTTCATTAAATGAAGCGTTATTAGTGTCACCTTGTGGATGTTGGCTGTGCTTTTCACACATCAAGTATGCGTTTCAGCTGGGTTTCCTGACATGGAGTGGCAGACGCCAGCTGTGTCTGAGAAGTTCCAGAGCCACTTTGGCCGCCGGCCTAGGACAACAGACAGTGGGGACACGGAGCTAGGCAGCACAGAAGGTGAGAACGTCCCCCCTGCTCTGACTTCCTGGCCTGTACTACCACAACACCCATGCTTATTATGCAACATGTCATATAGCTCAGTTCTGAAACACATTTACATTACATTTTAGTCATTTAGCAGACGCTCTTATCCAGAGCGACTTACAGTTGGTGAGTGCACTTATTATTATTATTATTATTTGTATTTTTTTCTTCATTTTTCTTCATTTTTTTTCATCATACTGGTCCCCCATGGGAAACGAACCCACAACCCTGGTGTTGCAAGTGCAATGCTCTACCAACTGAGCTACACAGGACCAAACACCCCCCACACAGCTGTACACACTGTTCTCTATGTTCACCGTGGTGAATAATGTTAGTTACAATGCTGATGGCTGACTAGCTCACATGTTAAATGTGTTATAAAAGTTTGCTTTTTGTTCAGATCGGCCTAGGTGAATATAAATTTGAAATGCCCTAGTTCCAGAGATGCCAGACATTCAGAGTTGGAAAATGATTATCAGGTCTAATGAGGTGATTTATCATGTTTATTGGCCTATCGCAATATGCTGTCGTCAGATCAGGCCAAAATCTCAAGGTATGTGTGACTCGCTGGACTTACATTTAAGTCATTTAGCAGACGCTCTTATCCAGAGCGATTTACAGGAACAATTTGGCTGTGGGATTCGAACCAGTGACCTTTAGGTTACTGGCCCAACGCTCTTAACTGCTAGGCTACCTGCCGCCCTACCTACCTTATCGACTTGAGAGCAGTCGATGTGAATGAAAGGAGAAATCCACAGCAGCTTGCTGTTTCTCTCTGCGACTATGTTTGGAACAAGGGGTCGGAGGTCAGCATCCTCTGTTGTTGAGTACAGCCTATTTATAGGCAGGGTGATGTGCTCATGATCCTTGGATGCTCAGGAGATTTACAGGGGTAGTTTATATTCCCTACCGGTGGCTCGGCCTACCTAATTGGGGGATGGGGGGTGGATTGCTAGGACTGGACAGCTAAATGGAAACTCTGAACCCTTGCCCCCTTCTTCTTTGCTGAGTGATACATGTAATGCTCACAGATTAGATGCACCCGATGGGGTTTAAATGAGAACATCATTTTGGAAGTACTAGGACTGGAGGTGTATGTACTATCCGTATGCCCTACTGAAGGTGAGACTGGAGTGCTTTAGTATTAGTAGTCTGTGTTTGCCTGTGGTAAGCCTATTTGTGATTCTATCGTTTTTTCTAGTAGTTGGGTGTGGTCCATTGAAAACCATTGTAATCGCGCCATGCCATCTGCATTCACAATTGAAGACTAAAAGGAGAATTGCAGTTAACGAGACACTACTATTTGGGCCCAACTGTCAAGCAAGCTAGTGCCACTGATACACTGGCGCTGTAACTGATAACAGTGCTTAGCAACATGAGTCCTGACTCCTTCTTCAACTCCCTTACTCCAGTCTAAACTGTCAAAGGAGAGGGTCAGGGTGGACATGGTGTAGTGTCAGAGAGTTCAAAGGTCAGTCTGACAGGTCATCCTTCATAGGCACTGATGTGTTGTTGTTTTTGGGGCCCTGGATGAAGTAGTTTGTTCTTTGAACACAGCTTATTGTATCCTACTTTCCAATTGTGTATTTCTATTTGTGATACATTTATGTTGCGGTCACAGTTAGTCTGGTACTGCTGGAGTAGCATTTTATATTACATCTTTGCCAAATTAGGTTTTGAGTGAGCTTACAAACCATTACCTGCTGGAGAATTAACTCTCAACTGCAATTCCACATAGGCCTAGTTTGTTCTCCCTCAGAGCATCAGAGCAGTTTGGACTCGTCCTAGCCAGACATACTCATGAATCAGTCGAGCCTCAAGGTCACCTGAACATTTCATTTGAAGAATGTTTTCACTGGAAGAGTCTCTGTCTTTGCCAGTTCCTTCCTGTTGTGTGCTCACTAATTCTTATTTTCCCCTGCCGTTGCTAAGCACGGCTCTGTCCAAAATGAGACGTCTCATTTTGGGGGAGGTTTTTAGTCTCGCTTTTGGGGTGTACTCGTGTGACGTGCGCGGGACTGTGGGAGAGGTCTAGGTGTTTAAATAAGCAGCCGGCACAGATCACTCTGTAACCTGAGTGGGGCTATAAATACCCCTAACCTTTCCTGCCTGTGTCTGTTTGTGTGTGGTTGCTCCGAGCGCTTTACAGGGCGGCCTGGCTTGGTTATTCTCTAGGACAATACTCCCTGCTGTACAAGGCCTTCTTGTCCGCGACACTACACTGCTGTCAGCCTAGAACCTTCGAGCCTCCATAAAAATGCATTGGAAGGAATTCGGCATCAGCATTAAACATCTTGCTGCTGCAGCTCACCCCTTCCGCTGGGCTGTTAAAAAATGTCACGGCTAATAACACGTTTCTCCCAGTGTCGGAGTGAGTGCCAGGTGAGCAGGGCTCTCTGTTTCTCTTTAAATAGCTGTTATGAAATAGTGCTTGTGTATGGAGTCTGCTGTTAGCTGTCACACAGGCCTAGTTGTTGTTTTTACTAGTTTCCAGTGCTTTAAACGCAGAGGTTTCTTCATTTGAAAACTGATGTGTCTAACTGTTTCCATTTCAAAATATAGCTTAGTAGCCATTATGACACAATCAAAATGGGGTGCTTCTTTGGTGTGTAGTCTCATGATTTGAGGTTAGTCTATTTGCCTGTCTGTTCTTGCATGTGTTAAGGGTTTCTTGGTTCGTGAATGAATGGTCTTTCTGTTGGCAATGAATAAAAGCACTTACTAGGTCAGTCAGTACTAGTGGTGTTACCTGACAGGCAAAGTGGGCCACCCACTGACCCCAGTCACGGTGTGTGGTATGCTTCACATCACCACCTGAAAATAGTGTGGGATGGTAGTGTGGTACGTACAGCATACCAACTCTCTGTAAAGGAATCTTAAGCCAGAGATTGTTTGGAGAAAGGAAGAGTTTTACTCTGTTTTCAAGGCCATTCACTGAATTCAATGCCACCCGAGTGGCAGTTTTGTTCACCACTTCCCAGTGAAAGCAAAGTACCTTTTATTGTTACTCAATGGATGCTGCTTCAAATTCTTACCCAAATCTAACGGTTCCTTTCTCTTACCCCCTCCAGATTTCTGCAGTTCCAGCAGCAGCCCCACGTTCCAGCCCATCCGCAGTCAGATTCCCATCCCCACTGCCCATGTCATGCCGTCCACGGCCGGACCACCGGCCTCCAAGCCCCAGCCCCGTTCCCAAGACGATTCCCAGGCTTCTGCCGAGGCACACAGGCCGCCCTCGGGCTCCCGAACCTCCAGTGGAACCTCCAGCTCTAAATCGTCCTCCCTCTCCAAGTCAGCCTCTTCCCCCAACCTGGACATGGCACAAGGCGGCATGGGGGGAGCCGACCCCGCCGGGCCCAAGACAGACTGCCTGAGCCGCTACCGCAGCCTCGTGAACGGACTAGACCATTCGCTGTTCCCCTCTGGGGACCAGTCTTGCATGGATGAGGGCCAGAGGTTCGACATGCCCACCATGGAGCCCACAATGAACCAATCTGCTCTGCTAGCGGGCTACTGCCCCGACGTCCGACTCAGGCTCCAGATGACCAGCCTGGGGGAGACTCCCGAGTGCAGCGGGGAGGCCTACAGGGTAGCCATGGCAGCCATGGAGCACTCGTACAAGGCTCTCCCCGAGGCCAGGCCGGGGGTCCCCGGAGCTCCAGACCCCTACAGCCAGAGGAGCAGCCAGCCCGGTGGAACTGGGGCTGGGTCAGCCGGTGTGTACCCCAGCTCTCTGTATCTGCAGACCCAGGCTCTGTTGAGGGAGGCCAAGGCCTATGAGCCCATGCTGCAGGAGAGATGCAGAGAGCTGCCCAGCTGGCAGCAGCAACAGCAGCACAAGCAGCAGCTGGAGAGTCTCCGCATTGCAAGTGGAGCAGATGCAGGTGAACTGAGCATTTAGACCTGAGAACAGCTAGTGTAAGACTGACCCATTTTATACACATGTATACTGAATAAAAATATAAACGCAACACAATTTCAACGGTTTTACTGAGTTACAGTTCATATAAGGAAATCAGTCAATTTAAATTAATTAATTAGGCCCTAATCTATGGATTTCACATGACTGGGCAGGGGCGCAGCCATGGGTGGGCCTGGGAGGGCATAGGTCCCACCCACTTGGGGAGCCAGTCCCAGCCAATCAGAATGAGTTTTCCCCCACAAAATGGCTTTATTACAGACAGAAATACTCCTCAGTTTCATTAGCTGTCCGGGTGGCTGGTCTCAGGTGAAGAAGCCGGATGTGGAGGTCCTGGGCTGGCGTGGTTACACTTCGTCTGCGGTTGTGAGGCCGGTTGGACATACTCCCAAATTCTCTAAAATTATGTTATGGTAGAGAAATGAACATACAATTCTCTGCCAAAAGCTCTGGTGGACATTCCTACAGTCAGCATGCCAATTGCCCACTCCCTCAAAACTTGAGACATCTGTGGCATTGTGTTGTGTGACAAAACTGCACATTTTAGTGGCCTTTTATTGTCCCCAACACAAGGTGCACCTGTGTAATGATCATGGCGTTTAATCAGCTTCTTGATATGCCACACCTGTCAGGTGGATGGATTATCTTGTATAGGAGAAATGCTCACTAACAGGGATGTAAACACATTTTTGCCCAACATTTGAGAGAAATTAGCTTTCTGTGCATATGGAACATTTCTGGTATCTTTTATTTCAGCTCATGAAACATGGGACCAACACTTTATATGTTGCGTTTATATTTTTGTTCAGTATAGTTCTCAAAATGCCCATATTAGGACAACAAAATGTTTTTGAGTGAGGAAAGTGGTTGCCAAAGTTAGAGAAGATGGCCTCTTTGGTTATAAGGCGGTTAGGTATTCTTTATAGTTGAGTCGGACATGTCCAATACGTCCTGTGTATGCAGATGATTACTGCTGGAGTGGGCCAGTACTCCGCTCTCTACTCCACCCCCTCCATGCCACCAGAGACCAGTAAATGGGACGCGGTGATCAAAGCCAACGAGAGCATTCTGAAGGAGAAGGAGCTCGTCATAGAGAGGTACACACCTATTACTTCAGATTGAAAGGCTAACCAAACTCAACAAAAAAAATCAGGTGATCGACTCTGAGGGATAATCCCCCAAAAACGTATACTTGTGACTATCCAGGAATATAAGGAAGAAGGAGTACCCGGTGCCTGCATAGATCTGTGTTTCTTTGGGACGAACAGGCTTACGTTCTGGCAGAGCACGCCTTTATCAGAGCCTTGGCTAGGCTGAAAATAAACTCCGATCCATGCAGACACTGAGTGTTCCTTTAAAGTGTCCTGGGGTAAGGAATATCTATTTCCCTACCTGAAAAACAAAATCTTCTTTATACACTTATAGCAGGCTGTATTAGGGGAAGTGTGTGTGTGGTATCTGACCCCATGTCACTGGTGTTTACTCTGGGTTGTATTGTTGTAGACAGAAGCAGCAGATGTCTCAACTGGAGCAGCGGCTGCGGGAGAGCGAGCTGCAGGTCCACGGAGCCCTGCTCGGCCGTGGTGCTCCGTACGGCGACGTGTGTCTGCTCCGACTGCAGGTGAGCTGGACACGCTCGCACATTCTTTCACATTTGTCATTTAGCAGACTCTTATCCAGAGCCACACACCCACTTGATGAGCTGAAACTGCACGACCACGGATGACCTCGAAGTCTTTCCTGTGTGTCTTCCAGGAGGCTCAGAGGGAGAATGCCTTCCTGCGGGCCCAGTTTGCAGAGCGTGGTGACTGCGCTGCCCAGGAGAAGGCGGAGGCAGAGCGCCGCCTCGGTGCCGTGGAGGCGGAGACGCGGCGTCTGAACGATACGCTGAGGGAGACCAGCGAGAGGCACGCCGAGGAGATGAAGAAGCAGGAGGAGCGGGTGAGAAGCTGAGCGTCGGGCCATCTGCCACAACATCACACTGCTACATTGATAGTCCAGTTGCTAATTATATAAACGGATTCACTTTTCGAATGACATAAAGTGACAGTTATTTAATGTGATTGGCGTTGCAGTCAGGAATTTTTCTATTCATAAAAAGTGACCGTTATTCCATACTTAACGTTTGTGTGTGTGTGTGTGTAGATACGCAGCCGGGACAAGCACATCAACAGCCTGAAGAAGAAGTGCCAGAAGGAGGCAGAGCAGAACCGAGAGAAGCAGCAGCGCATCGAGACTCTGGAGCGCTACTTAGCTGACCTGCCCACTATGGAGGACTACCAGGGCCAGAGCAAACAGGTAAAAACCAGCACAGACTGCATTACACACACACATACCTTACCCAAGTGAAACTGTCTTGGGATCAGTGTCCAGGGGCAACTGTATCGAGTGAGATTCTTAATTCTGTAAGTATATATTGAATATATTCACGGATCGTGGCTTATATACAGAATGAAGTGTAATCTCACTCAATACAACTACGTCCTACCTCATCAAAATGACTCTGGGTGTTACTATGGTCACGTTCCAGGCAGTCTTTTTATTGCTGTCTGGTGATGTTTGTTCACTGTCTCAGGAATCACATTAATAAGATGTATACATCTTCTGATATGCACAGCGCCACCACAAAAGCGACACACGAGCGGGCCCTGAGTTTAGTGCTGACGTACGTGTGTTGTGTGTTTTTAGCTGTTGGAGGTGGAGCAGCGGGCGTCCCAGCTGCAGGGCCGGGTCCGAGAGCTGGAGGTGTGTCTGGAGGAGGCTCGCTCACACACCAGGGAGAAGGACACCCAGCTGGAGGAGCAGAGACGCAGGGAGAGGGAGCTGCTCACCACTGTCACCAGGTACACACACACCAATCAAAGCTCGACGCTGTGGTTAGAAAAGAGTAGATGCTCTGAGCTATCCAACCAGGACCAAGTATTTTACTACTACACACACAGCTATACACCCATTCTGACATGATCGCATACCAGGTGTGCACCACACACATCATTTTAACATGCATGCATACTCCTATAACCTATATTGTTTGTATAATGACCTGTTTGTTAATTCGTTTTGTTGTGTGTCAGTTTACAAGAGCGGGTGCAGGAGGGCCTGGAGGACGGGGCAAGGTTACCCTCCCTGGATGTGGAGAAACTCAGAGGGGAGAACAGCAGCCTGAGAGAGGAACAACAGAGACTGAAAAAGGTCAGTCTTTTCATCTTGTTCCTTCTTCTTGGCCTATTTCAGCTTTTACATTGACATTTCACCTGTACATTCCATTCTGGAATGTTGCTCTGCTTTTTGTCGTTGTCGTCTAGTGCTGGTTCTAAAACGTTCCCGCTCTTGTCTTTTGTCTTTTTTTTTCTCCAGGTCGTGGAGAAGCAGCTGAGGATGATGGAGCAACTGGGCACCCAGATCGTGGTATGTGATACTTATTTAATCTGTTTACATGATATCTCTGAGTAACCTATATGGACTTACTAGCCAAACCCATATCCAACCTCTGACCTGTGTGTATTTGTGTTTCTCTCTGTGTGTAGACCCTGGAGGAGCAGGTGTCTCAGGAGGAGAGCAGCTCTCATGCTCTGAGAGAGGAAGTGTGTTCTAAAGAGCAGGGGCTGCTACAGCTCCGCACAGCAATGAAGGAGGTGAGATGGTAGGACAGGACAACACCACTACTGGAAATAATGCTCTGTTCCATGTTCTGATAGGAGTCATCTTGAGAACCTCAGAGCTCATGTTCTGTCCTAATGCATAAAATGATGAACTGGACAGCAGGTTACATTTCAATACTTATTCATTAACCATGCACATACGTATTGAAATTGTGCTGTAACTGTCCATTTTATTTTACATGGAGTATCTATGACTATTCCCCACCACCCAACTATTTTAGTTGTAGAAGAACTTTGAGTTGAATATGTTGTCTATTATTTCTGTCATTCCTAATGGTGTGTTTTCTGTGTATTCCCAGCTGTCGGCCCAGAACCAGGAACTAATGGAGCAGAACTTGACCCTCCATGAGCGTCTGGAGGACTCGGAGAGGGTGAACCTGGACCGGACGTCCTCCTCGCTGCGGCCTGCCGGGGCCCGCCTCACCCAGCGTCTCCACGGGGAGATGGCCTCATGCCTCTGCGACCTGCGCTCCCTCTGCAACGTCCTGACCCAGCGGTCACAGGGCCGAGACCCCAACCTCTCGCTGCTGCTTGGCATTACATGTGAGGGATGACCACTGCGCCGCTACAGGATTTAGTAGCATTAGCATTAAAAAGGCTGCTGCTATTTTTCACTTAATCCTGAAACAATTTTAAAATCAGTTATAGCTTGAGCGATGGTAAAAGTCAAAGATGAATGTTTGAACAATTGAAGTGTTGTAGCCACAGAATACTTCCAGCTATATACAAGTGTTGTAATACGTTGTCGTCATACTTCCAGGTCCTGTCACCTAATCCTTTGAATGAGCTTGATGATTATGTCATCAAATTCCTGAAAATGTTGGGTTATTTAAGATGTGTGTGTGTATACAATTATATATATTTTTTTTTTTGGGATGAATTTACTTCTGCCAGATGCCTTTTTATGTTTTTGTGCTGAAAACCATTTGCGCTACATTTTAGCCCATTGAACTTTTGTAGGCTTTTTGAATGGTCTTCAAAAACGACAAGGCTACAAAAATCACTTTCATAGTGTGTAGTAACTGTGTTTCTTCTTCTCCCCAGCTCCCCCACCCATGGCAGAGCAGGTGGAGGACTGGCTGAGTCCTGAGGTCCTCCAGAGGAAGTTGACTGAAGCCCAGCAGCTGCGTCGTGACGTGGAGGAGCTCCGCACCACCGTCTCAGACCGCTACGCCCAGGACATGGGAGAGAACTGCATTACCCAGTAGCCCCAGCTGCTAGCCTCTCTAAAACAGACTGAACCTGAGACCGACTCGTCATTGGTCAAGCAGTAACCCCATCAGGCTAATGGGGTAAGGCTTCCATATTGGCCTTGCTTCTTCCACTCTCTCCATTGAGTATGAACTGGAATCTCATGTTGGCCCATTGGGGAAGGAATCCTTGACCAGGTCATGCATTTCAGTCAAAGGGCTTACGGTGAAAGAACTGTTCTTAAACCAGTGTGTATTTTGTTTTTATAAATGTTTTACTGATACATTTGTGTCTTTGTGTGTCAGAGGCCCTCCCCTCTTTTTATGACACACATGGATGGGGTTGTTATCTTTTTTCAATAAATAACACTATTTTATTATTTAAATCTTCCCTCTGGGGAAAATTTTTGGATGTGGTTGACAATCAACTGAAAATATTTAAATCTGTTTTTGTGTGATTCAACCGGGAATGTTACTAACTCACCATTATTTAAAATGGTACATTTGTAGCATTGGACTCTGGCGTGTGGGTGGCTTTTAACAGTGGTAGGGCTAATACTGAAAATACATTCTGTCAGCATTATAACTGAGATATTATTCACAGAGACATCCGTCCCATCTGTACAATTGCACAGTTAAAAAAAAAATAATCTGCAGGTATTTCTCTCAGGTAGTGGGCTTGCTTTGATGTTCAATTGTGCCTTTCTGTGCTTTTGCTGTCGTCACCACGCAAGCCAATATACTACCAGGCAAATTTTCTAGTGGCTTTCTTTCTCAACTTTAACTCTTTTGTTGTTTCAGCCAACAGAGCATCTCCATACATTCCTTAAACATTGCTTCATGGGTTGTCCTCTAAGAAGACGATATGTCATTCACAGCTAGTTATGTGGATAACGGTCTGTGACGATGTGAATTGAAGCCATTTTACACACTCCTTAACTGTATTTGTGGGACTGGTTGTTGTAAAGGGTCTGTTCAGTCTTGCAGAGCAACATACTGTAATCTAACATGTGAGTCCCTGTGCCTACTTTGTCCTTAACATGTCTGTACTTGCAATTGATAGTATTATTTTCTTTCCATCCTCTAATAGCAAGACATGTTTGGTTTCAAATTAATAACTTAACTTATGGATGTCAGTATTTTGTCATTAAAAAATGTGCGACATGGACACTAACCTTTTTTATTTTTATTTTTTCAGTGTTTGAAGAGCAAAAAACAGTGATTTAATTTATTGATGAAATGTCACATCAAATGCTATCCTTCAGTTGATGAACATCATGACACTAAGTGGGGACAGACATTTGGATGTCTAACATTGTCTAGATGAGACTAATGTGAGTCCTCATTTGAGCTTTAACAAAGTTAGACAAACTTGCCTTATGTCAAATGTTTTGCGAAAATTAAAATGTTTATTTTAATATATTTGTATCCTTAATTGTATTTACATATTTTTTTCCCCCCATATGTTGAATTGTAATTTACTTTGTTTGAAAAAACGTACATTTGAGTCAGTGATATGACGTAGATGCACAAAGCAAACCGCATAGTGGGTCAATGTTCCGCAACAGCTAAGAGCATTGAAGCGCGAGGCTAAACGGCTCTGCTGTTTTGGTCCCTTGGCTACCACGTTGTAAGAGCGTGAAGCGATCCCGTGCCCATGTGCAGATACTGAGTGTGACTGAGAGCGAAGTCTTGCTCATCGCAATATCTGCGGTGCTGCTCATGCAACATTATTTAGCTAACTCTACCTTTTTAAGCAGTCATGGTTCAAGGTGAATTGTCTGCATCAGCATCAATAATTATGCAAGTTATTGTATTCCTATGGAATTTAGGATTTTTCCAATGTCATGATGATCCTGAAAAAGATAGTTTTGTAAGTGTTGGCGCCCTCCAGTGCCACATCCCTATCAGAGCTGAATATACATGTTTATGAAAGTAAATATTTTATAACCATGAGAGTGACAGGGCGATTGTTGTTCTCTGTCATTGCGGTGGGGCTGGCCTAGTCCTAAGAAGCAGCGCAGCATTGGGAGTGAGCCCACAGGAGAGGAGTGTCTGGGAATCCTCACTGTAGCAGCGCTGTGGGAACGCACTGATGATGTCATACGCTGGGGTATCTGTCCATCTGAAATTGAGAGGGAGAGAGTTGATATAGATTGCATTGCACAGGACTGAGCTTTCATAATATGTCAACAGACTGGGATGCGACTTTGTTCTGGTACACTGATTTTTCGTCGCTGATCATTTGGACAAATCATGATTCCGCAGATAGGATCATTTGGCCCATAGACTTGCCCAAAACTGGCTGAGAGTTTCTATTTAGAGGAGTGGATACTTGGCTAGTCTCGTTAGTACATTTTCTAGCACGTCTCCCCCCAGAACTTAATTGAGCATCTGAGGCAATTATGCCAGATTATTATTTATTTATACCAAAAAATAGGGGGGTGGATCAGCTTTAATATTGCAAAAAGATTGTGGCTTCTATCAATGTAATTGTCTGCATCATTTCCATATATACTGCTCAAAAAAATAAAGGGAACACTTAAACAACACAATGTAACTCCAAGTCAATCACACTTCTGTGAAATCAAACTGTCCACTTAGGAAGCAACACTGATTGACAATAAATTTCACATGCTGTTGTGCAAATGGAATAGACAACAGGTGGAAATTATAGGCAATTAGCAAGACACCCCCAATAAAGGACTGGTTCTGCAAGTGGTGACCACAGACCACTTCTCAGTTCCTATGCTTCCTGGTTGATGTTTTGGTCACTTTTGAATGCTGGCAGTGCTTTCACTCTAGTGGTAGCATGAAACGGAATCTACAACCCACACAAGTGGCTCAGGTAGTGCAGCTCATCCAGGATGGCACATCAATGCGAGCTGTGGCAAGAAGGTTTACTGTGTCTGTCAGCGTAGTGTCCAGAGCATGGAGGCACTACCAGGAGACAGGCCAGTACATCAGGAGACGTGGAGGAGGCCGTAGGAGGGCAACAACCCAGCAGCAGGACCACTACCTCCGCCTTTGTGCAAGGAGGAGCACTGCCAGAGCCCTGCAAAATGACCTCCAGCAGGCCACAAATGTGCATGTGCATGTGTCTTCTCAAACGGTCAGAAACAGACTCCATGAGGGCCCGACGTCCACAGGTGGGGGTTGTGCTTACAGCAGGACGTTTGGCATTTGCCAGAGAACACCAAGATTGGCAAATTCGCCACTGGCGCCCTGTGCTCTTCACAGATGAAAGCAGGTTCACACTGAGCACATGTGACAGACGTGACAGAGTCTGGAGACGCCGTGGAGAACGTTCTGCTGCCTGCAACATCCTCCAGCATGACCGGTTTGGCGGTGGGTCAGTCATGGTGTGGGGTGGCATTTCTTTGGGGGGCCGCACAGCCCTCCATGTGCTCGCCAGAGGTACCCTGACTGACATTAGGTACCGAGATGAGATCCTCAGACCCCTTGTGAGACCATATGCTGGTGCGGTTGGCCCTGGGTTCCTCCTAATGCAAGACAATGCTAGACCTCATGTGGCTGGAGTGTGTCAGCAGTTCCTGCAAGAGGAAGGCATTGATGCTATGGACTGGCCCGCCCGTTCCCCAGACCTGAATCCAATTGAGCACATCTGGGACATCATGTCTCGCTCCATCCACCAACGCCACGTTGCACCACAGACTGTCAAGGAGTTGGCGGATGCTTTAGTCCAGGTCTGGGAGGAGATCCCTCAGGAGACCATCCACCACCTCATCAGGAGCATGCCCAGGCGTTGTAGGGAGGTCATACAGGCACGTGGAGGCCACACACACTACTGAGCCTCATATTGACTTGTTTTAAGGACATTACATAAAAGTTGGATCAGCCTGTAGTGTGGTTTTCCACTTTAATTTTGAGGGTGACTCCAAATCCAGACCTCCATGGGTTGATATTTGATTTCCATTGATAATTTTTGTGTGATTTTGTTGTCAGCACATTCAACTATGTAAAGAAAAAAGTATTTAATAAGATTATTTCATTCATTCAGATCTAGGATGTGTTATTTTAGTGTTCCCTTTATTTTTTTGAGCAGTGTATATAATCTTAAATATATATATTATATAGTACCAGTCAAAGGTTTGGACACACCTACTCATTCAAGGGATTTTCTTGATTTTTTTTTACATTGTACAATAATAGTGAAGACATAAACTATGAAATAACACATATGGAATCTTGTAGTAACCAAAACAGTGTTAAACAAATCAAAATATTTTATATTTGAGATTCTTCAAATAGCCACCCTTTGCCTTGATGACTGCTTTGCACACTTGGCTTTCTCTCAACCAGCTTCACCTGGAATGCTTTTCCAACGGTCTTGAAGGAGTTCCCATATGCTGAGCACTTGTTGGCTGCTTTTCCTTCACTCTGCCGTCCGACTCATCCCAAACCATCTCAATTGGGTTGAGGTCGGCCGATTGTGAAGCCCAGGTCATCTGATGCAGCACTCCATCACTCTCCTTCTTGGTAAAATAGCCCTTACACAGCCTGGAGGTCTGTTTTGGGTCATTGTCCTGTTGAAAAACAAATGATAGCCCCACTAAGCCCAAACCAGATGGGATGGCGTATCGCTGCAGAATGCTGTGGTAGCAATGCTGGTTAAGTGTGCCTTGAATTCTAAATAAATCACAGACGGTGTCACCAGCAAAGCACCCATACACCTCCTCCTCCTCCATGCTTTACGGTGGGAAATACACATGGAGACTCCAGACCAATGGACAAATTTCCACCGGTCTAATGTCTATTGCTCGTGATTCTTGGCCCAAGCAAGTCTCTTCTTATTATTGGTGTCCTTTAATAGTGGTTTCTTTGCAGCAATTTGACCATGAAGGCCTGATTCACAGTTGATGTTGAGATGTGTCTGTTACTTGAACTCTGAAGCATTTATTTGGACTGCAATTTCTGAGGCTGGTAACGCTAATGAACTTATCCTCTGCAGCAGAGGTAACTCTGGGTCTTCCATTCCTGTGGCAGTCCTCATGAGAGCCAGTTTCATCATAGCGCTTGATGGTTTTTGCGACTGCACTTCAAGAAACGTTCAAAGTTCTTAATTTTCCGTATTAACTGACCTTCATGTCTTAAAGTAATGATGGACTGTCGTTTCTCTTTGCTTATTTGAGCTGTTCTTGCCATAATATGGACTTGGTCTTTTACCAAATAGGGCTATCTTCTGTATAGGATTGAGGTCAGGGATTTGTGATGGCCACTCCAATACCTTGACTTTGTTGTCCTTAAGCCATTTTGCCACAACTTTGGAAATATGCTTGGGGTCATTGTCCATTTGGAAGACCCATTTGCGACCAAGCTTTAACTTCCTGACTGATGTCTTGAGGTTTTGCTTCGATATATCCACATAATTTTCCTTCCTCATGACGCCATCTATTTTGTGAAGTGCACCAGTCCCTCCTGCAGCAAAGCACCCCCACAGCATGATGCTGCCACCCCCGTGCTTCACGGTTGGGATGGTGTTCTTCGGCTTGCAAGCTACCCCCTTTTTCCTCCATACATAACGATGGTCATTATGGCCAAACAGTTCTATTTTTGTTTCATCAGACCAGAGGACATTTCTCCAAAAAGTACGATCTTTGTCCCCATGTGCAGTTGCAAAGCTTTTTTTATGGTGGTTTTGGAGCAATGGCTTCTTCCTTGCTGAGTGGCCTTTCAGGTTATGTCGATATAGGACTTGTTTTACTGTGGATATAGATACTTTTGTACCTGTTTCCTCCAGCATCTTCACAAGGTCCTTTGCTGTTGTTCTGGGATTGATTTGCACTTTTTGCACCAAAGTACGTTCATCTCTAGGAGACAGAACGCGTCTCCTTCCTGAGCGGTATGACGGCTGCGTGGTCCCATGGTGTTTATACTTGCGTACTATTGTTTGTACAGATGAACGTGGTACCTTCAGGCGTTTGGAAATTGCTCCCAAGTATGAACCAGACATATGGAGGTCTACAATATATTTTGATATGGAGGTCTGATTTCTTTTGATTTTCCCGTGATGTCAAGCAAAGAGGCACTGAGTTTGAAGGTAGGCCTTGAAATACATCCACAGGTACGCCTCCAATTGACTCAAATTATGTCAATTTGCCTATCAGAAGCTTCTAAAGCCATGACATCATTTTCTGGAATTGTCCAAGCTGTTTAAAGGCACAGTCAACTTAGTGTATGTAAACTTCTGACCCACTGGAATTGTGATACAGTGAATTATAAGTGAAATAATCTTTCTAAACAATTGTTGGAAAAATTACTTGTGTCATGCACAAAGTAGATGTCCTAACCGACTTGCCAAAACTATAGTTTGTTAACAAGAAATTTGTAGAGTGGTTGAAAAACAAGTTTTAATGACTCCAACCTAAGTGTATGTAAACTTCCGACTTCAACTGTATATATAACATACTGTTAGTTGCAAGAATTTTGTATAATAATTTAAATAGGAAAAACTCGAAGTTTTGAATCTGGCGTTGTTTTGTCTATCAGTTCATAAACCATGTGCCATGGAATCGGTACATCGAGAATCTCTTCCCAACTATTTTGCAATCTGTATGGCACAGCTGTCAATTTTTTGGTCTTTAAATGAAACTAGTATACTTTTCTATTTATCACCATTTTCTTTAACCAATTTTGGTCTTGAATGCAGGGCTGACAGACAAGATCCTTATTTTCTCCCCCTTCCACTTGCCTCTTCCATTTTTGCAGTATGCAAGATTTTAGTTCTGGGTGTCCGAGATTAACATGACCCAAAAGTCACTGTGACTGAGATTAAGTACTGTGAACCTGATGGACTTCCTGGGCAAAATACTCTGCACAGCATTTTGTGGTAATGGCTCCCAACCCACCTGTGCTTGTCCAGATACTGGCGCAGGTGACCTATGGTCTCAGAGAAGCGCATTTTCATGATGTAGGTGTGCTCGCCATCCTCTGACTTCACCCTCAGTGTGGTGACATCACGGGCCGTCTCATGCAACTCCAACCTGAGTTAGAGAACAGGTTAATAACCCACATTGGCAAATGTGTGTCCCTCTTCCTGGGTCTCCTCTGTCACCAGGGCCCACAAGGCCCCCTAGTGGTGGAAGTGAAAGAGTTTTGTGAATAGTTCTAGATAGTGTACCTGCATACCTCTCTTTCATGGCCTGTAGCACTGGTGTGTCTATGAGGGTCACAGCATGGCTGTTTGGAGCATCAGAAGAGCCCTAAACTCAAGACACAGACATTTACTAACATATAGTACTCATGTCCATCATCTTCAGGTACAAGCAGAAACATGCAAAAGATCGGTCTCACCTGTAGACTGGCTTTCAGTGAGTCCCTGATGTCAATCACTCTACCAGCCTTCACTACGACCTTGGGAAGCCTGTTCAGGAACTGGTCCATTGTCAGTTTTCTGTCTGTGGGCAAATCAATGTTCAAGTCAGAGCAAAAGAGGCTTGGGGTGAATCTCAAGTGATACACGTATAGTTGAACCAACTTCAAATGTGAATTTCAATTGTATTTCTTTGATTCCTTGCGTTCTCTCTCCTCAAAACACATTGGAGAAGATCTAAGGTTCCTCGCCATCTCATGCATTTTCAGGAAGAGGAGAGAGGACTCGAGCAATCCAAGAAATACTATTGAGATTCCACCTTTGAAGTTGGTTCAACTAGTTTGTGAAGTGTAGCACATGTTTTGGAGAACAAATTGAAGTGATACTGAGAGGACCGACCGGGTATCTGAGAGAGTGTACAGTAGGCGTGTCCTAAGCTGTCTGTTGATTTCTCCCCCTCTGTGCCTCCAACAACAGCCTGCCCCTTCCCAGGGAACTCCGCCCACGGTCGCCTCTCTTTGAACTCCTCCTCTCGCCTGTCGTGAACCTGTGAACACCAAAAGAGGAAGTCCCACTACTCACCACAAAACAAACAGGAAATATGTTGTCCATGTCGTCAGTTTTCTTACCGTAAGCACATTTGAAATTCACACATGCACACACACACCTGAAAGGGCACCCCATCTGCAAACCTGTCCTGTAGCTCAGAAGGGAAGTATCCGTCCATCAGGTCTTGCATGCACTGCTGTTAAAGTCATTAGCGGCTGGGTGTCAGACACATTGGACTGAGATACAAACTGAGCTTTCTGTTCTTAGTTATTCTGTCTGCTACAATCTGAGAGAGAGTCAATATATGGAAACATTGAAATCAAATAATCTTCAGTGAATATGTATCTAAAGTCATGCCTGGTTTAAATATCTAGTCTAAGTTTCAGTGCCTGGTTAGGTGTGTTGTACTCTCTCGTAATAGCCTTAACAGTAGCTGATTTGGTTCTGGGTGCTGAGATTATGTACTGACTAGCCAGTCAGAGTGTAGCGAGTATTCCCTATATAGTCTCTGTCTGTACCTGTGTGCTGGCTTCCTGGTAAGAGCGGAAGGGCCCATTGAACATGAAGATGCCATTGCTGTAGAGCTGCAGTGGGATGAGGTGCTGCTGGGCCAGCTGTGCCCCTCTGGACGTGGCCCTGATGTAGGACTCTCCTTCTCCAGCCAGGATGTTCAACTGCTGGATGTTCTGGAGCACCAGGTCAAAGTTCATCTGGAAGTTCCTCCTGGCCACAGAGGTCTCTGCAAAACACAGGTCACCATAATAAGTGAATGCATAATTAAAGATTTTCTGTTTGAAAACTATCCAGGCATCACATGAGCACAGCTCTTTGAAACTTTACTGGTGCATTGAAACAACATCAAAGTCATGAAAGAAACCTCTCTTCTTTGTTGTTTGGCAGCTGCTTTCTACTGTTGGAAATGACAGTTTGAAAATGTGATTTGATTAGGTTTTACTTCAAGTGTAAATTGAAAGTCAGGCCTATGGTGAGGATTAGAGGGTCACTGAGTACTGGGGCTACCTGTTAAGGAAGGTGTACTGTTACAGCATGTTCAGATAGAAATGTATCATGTAGAAAGAATATGATTGTCTGTCAGATAGAATAGGGAATCTTAGCAGCTCTATTAATAATATTTATATCTGCAACATAAGGTTCAGCACTTAATACCTCCCTGGTTCCTTTACCTGGCTGCCACACCCCTCTCTCGGAGCTCTGGGTCTGCTCAGCTTCCTCTACTTCCTGTTGACTGGCTGTGTCGCACTCCTCTCTACGTTCCCCACCCAGATCATGCCGTAGTAGTTCAGAAACCGCTGTGTGGTTAAAAAAAACCCCCACAGAGTTTAAAGAAGAAAAACTTTGCAGTGACATTAGTTAAAGAGGTGAACTAAACTATTTAGAACAGACTTAGAGATGACTCAACCACCACAACTCAACTTCTCTGTTGTACTGTATGTAGTAAAGTTCAAGTCTAAATTGGACATGCACTGACTTCATAAGATATATTGTAAATCACACAGACACAGGTTAGTTCTTCTATGGCTTTCAATATAGTGCGGTCAATCCATGTCTGTGCAATGTACCAAACTGTTAGCCGAGGACCCCAAAAAAAACATTGCAACAAAAACATTGCACTGTTGTATCACCATGGCGATGATGGTCTTACCTCCATCTCCAATACCTGGCCCTGAAGCCTGTGGCATGTTCTTATGAGATCATCCTCTCTGCTCCTATCACTGTTTTTCTCTAAAAACCACAGAAACAGAATGGTCTTGGTTAACCAAACACGACTTGTTCCATACTCTTAATATATTTTATTTTAACTTAACAGAGATGAGAGAGAGATGACAGAGAGGTAGAGTACACTGTATAGGCCTATATGGGGCTGTATTTCTATAAAGACATGAATACTAGGTCTACATGTGTTGTGACTGGAGCTCTGTGGTTCCAGAGCTGTATGAGATGTACGGTAGGCTGAAATAACTACCTTTTGACTTCTGAAGAAGCTTCACTTTCTCCTCCAGAACTGTAATAATTTTTTCCTTCAAATAGAAAATAACTAAATTAACAAAGATATGTTGTCAAGTCAAGAGCTTGGTCTGTATGTATATCAATGTTTTGGCATGTACTTCATGGATAGAATACTAGCTGGATGTGTATAGACCAGTACTGCCTTTAGTCTCTGTTTTCAGTGTTGGGGAAGCTACTATGAAAATATAGTTTACCAAGCTACCAATTACTTCACACTGGATGAATTTGAGCTACAGTAAAGCTACCCTTAAGAGAAATATAGTTTGTTTAACTAAAGCTACTTTGAAAAAGTAGTTCACCACATCAAAACTGCCTTGTAAAAAGGTATTATATCTAAGTCTGAAAAGTCATAATTGTACTGGGTTTAAAAAGATATACAGTGCATGCGGAAAGTATTCAGTCACCTTGCCTTTTCCACATTTTGTAACGTTACAGCCTTATTCTAAAATTGATTTAATCGTTTTTTTCCCCCATCAAACTACACACAATACCCATAATAATAAATCAAAAACAGGTTTTTAGAAATTGCAGCAAATGTATAAAAAATACAAAAACTGAAATATTACATTTACATAAGTATTCAGACCCTTTACTCAGTACTTTGTTGAAGCACCTTTGGCAGCGATTACAGCCTCGAGTCTTCTTGGGTATGACACTACAAGCTTGGCACACCTGTATTTGGGGAGTTTATCCCATTCTGCTCTGCAGATCCTCTCAAGCTCTGTCAGGTTGGATGGGGAGCGTCGCTGCACAGCTATTTTCAGGTCTCTCCAGAGATGTTCGATCCGGGCGCTCAAGGACATTCAGAGACTTGTCCCGAAGCCACTCCTGCGTTGTCTTGGCTGTGTGCTTAGAGTTGTTGTCCTGTTGGAAGGTGAACCTTTGCCCCAGTTTGAGGTCCTGAGCACTCTGGAGCAGGTTTTCATCCAGCATCTCTCTGCACTATGCTCCATTCATCTATCCCTCGATCCTGTCTAGTCCCCCAGTCACTGCCGCTGAAGAACATCCCCACAATATGATGCTGCCACCACCATGGTTCACCGTAGGATGGTGCCAGGTTTCCTCCAGACGTGAAGCTTGGCATTCAGGCCAAAGAGTTCAATCTTGGATTAATCAGACCAGAGAATCTTGTTTCTCATGGTCTGATAGTCCTTTAGGTGCCTTTTGGCAAACTCCAAGCGGGCTGTCATGTGCCTTTTACTGAGGAGTGGCTTCCGTCTGGCCACTCTGTCATAAAGGCCTGATTGGTGGAGTGCTGCAGAGATGGTTGTCCTTCTGGAAGGTTCTCCCATCTCCACAGTGGAACTCTGTAGCTCTGTCAGCTCCCTGACCAAGGCATTTCTCCCCCGATTGCTCAGTTTGGCCGGGCGGCCAGCTCTAGGAAGAGTCTTGGTGGTTCTAAACTTCTTCCATTTAAAAATAATGGAGGCCACTGTGTTCTTGGGGACCTTCAATGCTGCAGACATTTTTTGGTACCCTTCCCCAGATCTGTGCCTCGAAACAATCCTGTCTCTGAGTTCTAAGGACAATTCCTTCAACCTCATGACTTGGTTTTTGCTCTGACATGCACTGTCAACTGTGGGACCTTATATAGACAGGTGTGTGAAATTCCAAATCATGTCCAATCAATTGAATTTACCACAGGTGGACTCCAATCAAGTTGTACAAACATCTCAAGGATGATCAATGGAAACAGGATGCACCTGAGCTCAACTTCGAGTCTCATAGCAAAGGGTCTGAAAACTTACAGTACCAGTCAAAAGTTTGGACACACCTACTCATTCAAGGGTTTTTCTTTATTTTTACTATTTTCTACATTGTAGAATAATAGTGACAATATCAAAACTATGAAATAACACATATTGATTCATGTAGTAACCAAAAAGGTGTTAAATTATTATTATATTAATATTATATATTTGAGATTTGAGATTCTTCAAACAGTCACCCTTTGCCTTGATGACAGCTTTGCATTCTCTCAACCAGCTTCACCTGTAATGCTTTTCCAACAGTCTTGAAGGAGTTCCCACATATGCTGAGCACCTGTTGGCTGCTTTTCCTTCACTCTGCCGTCCGACTTATCCCAAACCATCTCAATTGGGTTGAGGTCGAACGATTGTGGAGCCCAGGTCATCTGATGCAGCACTCCATCACTCTCCTTCTTGGTAAAATAGCCCTTACACAGCCTGGATGTGTGTTGGGTCATTGTCCTGTTGAAAAACAAATGATAGTCCCACTAAGCCCAAACCAGATGGGATGGCGTATCGCTGCAGAATGCTTTGGTAGCCATGCTGGTTAAGTGTGCCTTGAATTCTAAATAAATCACAGACAGTGTCACCAGCAAAGCACCCCCACACCATAACACCTCCTCCTCCATGCTTTACGGTGGGAACTACACAAGCAGAGATCATCCGTTCACCCACACCGCATCTCACAAAGACACGGCGGTTGGAACCAAAAATCCAAACGACACATTTCCACCGGTCTAATGTCCATTGCTTGTGTTTCTTGGCCCAAGCAGGTTTCTTCTTCTTATTGGTGTCCTTTAGTAGTGGTTTCTTTGCAGCAATTCGACCATGAAGGCCTGATTCCCCTAAGAACAGTTGATGTTGAGATGTGTCTGTGACTTGAACTCTGTGAAGCATTTATTTGGGCTGCAATTTCTGAGGCTGGTAACTCTAATGAACTTATCCTCTGCAGCAGAGGTAACTCTGGGTCTTCCATTCCTGTGGTGGTTCTCATGAGAGCCAGTTTCATCATAGCGCTTGATGGTTTTTGCGACTGCACTTGAAGACACTTTCAAAGTTCTTGAAATGTTCCGTATTGACTGACCTTCATGTCTTAATGATGGACTGTTGTTTCTCTTTGCTTATTTGAGCTGTTCTTGCCATAATATGGACTTGGTCTTTTACCAAATAGGGCTATCTTCTGTATACCCCCCCTACCTTATCACAACACAACTGACTGTCTCAAACGCATTAAGAAGGAAGGAAATTCCACAAATTAACTTTTAACAAGGCACACCTGTTAATTGAAATGCATTCCAGGTGACTACCTCATGAAGCTGGTTGAGAGAATGTCAAGAGTGTGCAAAGCTGTCATCAAGGCAAAGGGTGGCTATTTGAAGAATCTCAAATATAAAATATATTTTGATTTGTTTAACACTTTTTTGGTTACTACATGATTCCATATGTGTTATGTCATAGTTTTGATGTCTTCACTATTATTCTACAATGTAAAAAATTGTAAAAATAAATAAAAACCCTTGAATGAGTAGGTGTGTCTAAACTTTTGACTGGTAGTGTATGTAAATAAGGTATTTCTGTTTTTTATTTTTTATAAATTTGCACACACAAAAATTTTTTTTATAAAAACATGTTTTTGCTTTGTCATTATGGGGTATTGTGTGTAGATTGATGAGCGGAAAAAAATATTTAATCAATTTTAGAATAAGGCTGTAACGTAACAAGATGTGGAAAAAGTCAAGGGGTCTGAATACTTTCCAAATGCTTTGTATACTGTAGATTATTTTGGCTAAGCATTTAATGGGTATTTGCAGTAGTTAGCTACAGTGGCATTTTTCCTATTTTGTTGCCTTTCAACCTGGAATTAAAATGGATTTTTGGGGGGTTTGTATCATTTGATTTACACAAATATTTTTTATTGTGACACAAACAAGAAATAAGACAAAAAAACAGAACTTGAGCGTGCATAACTATTCATCTCCCCAAAGTCAATACTTTGTACAGCTACCTTTTGCTGCAATTACAGCTGCACGTCTCTTGGAGTATCTCTATAAGCTTAGCACATCTAGCCACTGGGATTTTTGCCCATTCTTCAAGGCAAAACTGCTCCAGCTCCTTCAAGTTGGATGGGTTCTGCTGGTGTACAGCAATCTATAAGTCATACCACAGATTCTCAATTGGATTGAGGTCTGGTCTTTGACTAGGCCATTCCAAGACATTTAAATGTTTCCCCTTAAACCACTCGAGTGTTGCTTTAGCAGTATGCTTAGGGTCATTGTCCTGCTGGAAAGTGAATCTACGTCCCAGTCTCAAATCTCTGGAAGAAAGAAACAGGTTTCCCTCAATAATCTCCCTGTATTTAGCACCATCCATCATTCCTTCAATTCTGACCAGTTTCCCAGTCCCTGCCAATGAAAAACATCCCCACAGCATGAAGCTGCCACCACCATGCTTCACTGTGGGGATGGTGTTCTCGGGGTGATGAGAGGTGTTGGGTTTGCGCCAGACAAAGCGTTTTCCTTGATTGCCAAAAAGCTCAATTTTAGTCTCATCTGACCAGAGTACATTCTTCCATATGTTTGGGGAGTCTCCCACATGCCTTTTGGTGAACACTAAACGTGTTTGCTTATTTTTTTCTTTAAGCAATGGCTTTTTTCTGGCCACTCTTCCGTAAAGCCCAGCTCTGTGGAGTGTACGGCTTAAAGTGGTCCTATGGACAGATACTCCAATCTCCGCTGTGGAGCTTTGCAGCTACTTCAGGGTTATCTTTGGTCTCTTAATGACCTCCTTGCCTGGTCCGTGAGTTTTGGTGGGCGGCCCTCTCTTGGCAGGTTTGTTATGGTGCCATATTCTTTCACATTTTTAATAATGGATTTAAAGGTGCTCCATGGGATGTTCAAAGTTTCTGATATTTTTTTATAACCCAA